AAAATATATTGCTGGAAAATGTATGTAAAACTAGAACTTTTTCTGCTAGAATTGAAGCCAATTACATGCATGAAAATAATATGCTTTCCACATTACGCATTTATTAATGCAAATATTCTTACATGTATATTATTTGCACGGTATTCATGGCAGTTATGTACATAAAGAAAATGCATCACAGTACAAGAAATTATTTACATAATTATTTTATTATTTACATAATTCTGAATAAAATTTGGTCACACGTGTTCATATTTTTTTTTTCTTTTTGCCATTCTTACCAAATAAGTACATTATTATATTGAACACCCTTCAGGATTTCTGGGGGGGGGGGGGGGGGGGTAGAACGGTCTTAAATTTTCCAGGGCCATGCTTAGATGTTTTATGGTAGCATGAACGTCAACCTTGACAACATGTTTGAAGGAGGTTGTCATAAAACGATAAAATTTTATCTCAATAAACACATGTCTGCTAATCCTGGCATAGCGGTCAATTACCAGATAAGATAATCTCCGGCCCTTCAAACATAGATAAAATCAAAGTGACCCCTTCCGAAGCCAATTTATCTGACCGGATTTATTAAATCAACTTTCCATTTCAAAATTTCCGGTTTTACTTTTCAAAACATGTCCAGAAGACACATTTCATTATGTTTTTCCAATGTGATTATTCGCGTGTGTTTGCATATACTTTTAATGATTGATTTAGAATAAAAAATTTAGAAAGGAACCTCTAAGACTTGTAACAACTAGAAATGTGCGCATCAATCCGACTTACGTTCAGATCTTAAGGGTATAAAATATATACGTTCCTGTTAAAATACAGGATCATAATTAAAACCTAAGCAACTCTTTTCTTGCTTTCTTTGGCCAGATGATTTTAGGTTTCAGCGAGGCACCCATAAGATATTGATCAAACACTATTAATTCGACCAATTCAACACAAAAGAGCAGGAGTAACTGCTCTTATATAGGCCTTCATAGAATTAAATCCGAACTGACAGCAGATGGACATGAGTAGCGTGATTTTACTATATGTTTAATATATTTTTTGTATAACATCACTATGTTGTTTTCTATCCTTAACTGACTAAGTTCGAGCTATTTGTTCATATTATTGATATTTTTAGGGAATAGTACGGTAAGAACTTAATCCAGTTTACATAATTATGCTATTTAAACCCCCCTAGAAGTTTTCATGCATCTTTTAAGGATGCTTCTTTAATGAATATAGTACAGAAATATGATAAACATAACTGTATTCATTTTTTTACTTTCTAATAAAAAGAATAACACAAAAAATGGTCAGTGCTATGTTAGTATCATCCTTTGTATTGTCTTTACTGACTGAAGATAATAATTTATTCATAAGTTTTTTTTAACAAAGCCACTTGTGAACAATACGGTTCTTGTGCTTGGTATTTTCCTAAGTTGATTGATGTTGTATTGATATGATAAAATCAAACATGCTTGAAACACAATCAAAGGTGCTTTCTAGTGGCCAGCTTAAAGGAGACCCAGCCAGTTCCCGAGTCTAATATCTGACAGTGTCTATAGAACAATACTACGGAATGCCGTTAGGGCCATCGCCTATGAATGTGTTGATCTAAAACGCGATAGTCGATAGTACGATGGTGAAAACGCGAAATCACGAAACTACGATGGTGAAAACGCGAAAGCACGATGATGAAAACGCGATAGTACGATGATGAAATCGCGACAGTACGATACTACGATGGTGAAAACGCGATAAACTATCGTGTTTTCACCATCGTACTGTCGCGTTTTCACCATCGTAGTTTCGTGATTTCGCGTTTTCATCATCGTACTGTCGAGTATCGCGTTTCAGATAAAACAATTCATAGGCGATGGCCCTAACGGCATTCCGGAATGCCGTTAGGGCCATCGCCTATGAATGTGTTAATCTGAAACGCGATAGTCGATAGTACGATGGTGAAAACACGAAATCACGAAACTACGATGGTGAAAACGCGATAGTACGATGATGAAAACGCGATAGTACGATGATGAAATCACGACAGCACGATGGTGAAAACGCGCTAGTACGATGATGAAAACACGACAGTACGATGATGAAAACGCGATAGTACGATGGTGAAAACGCGATAGTACGATGGTGAAAACGCGATAGTACGATGATGAAAACACGACAGTACGATGATGAAAACGCGAAATCACGAAACTACGATGGTGAAAACGCGACAGTACGATGGTGAAAACACGATAGTTTATCGCGCTTTCATCATCGTAGTATCGTACTGTCGCGTTTTCATCATCGTACTTTCGCGTTTTCATCATCTTGCTTTCGCATTTTCACCATCGTAGTTTCGTGATTTCGCGTTTTCACCATCGTACTATCGACTATCGCGTTTCAGATCAACACATTCATTGGCAATGGCCCTAACGGCATTCCGTACAATACTGCATTTGTTTATTCAGTAGAGAGTTCTTGGAAGGTCATAAGTGAAGATCTTTGTCTTAAGGGCTAGAGTCAGGCTGCCGCTGTGCTATTCACTTAAAACACTTAACAGATGATCTTGGTATCATTTACTCACCTTACTGCACTTATTTACTCAAGAGTTTATGACCGGATACAGAATTATATAGAATAAACGGGTGCTTTATATTTATAACACCAAGCTGAAGAAAATTATAATTTATTTTTGAACCTCATGCATTTCTTTCTAAAAGCAGACGTACTTTTAATTATCCATGTTATATATGAATGGAAGTAGAGTAGTTGTCTGCCAATAGCCAAGTCTTGGCAGATACAGCTGAAAACTCTAGCAATTAGAAGAATCACAAGAGAAGCATCTAAAAGCAGACGGACGGAAGCCGAGTGGACGTATTCTGATATATGTGAGTACCTGTTTCTGAATATATAGTACAAGGCCAATTGTCACTAGTCTTGTTTCCGTTACTAAGACGGTTTACTATCACTTATAGTAAATGGGATACGGTCACAAGTACTCAAAAGTATATCTCTGGCTCAAAAGCACAATCGTATAACCTCGACGAGGTTGACGGAAAGGTCCGAAATTTTGCGACTGTGTCAAGCTTCCAAAGCCGATTTGGGCCGTCATGTATTTCCTTAGTTCATTATTGAACCCTCTTGCAATCATTATTTTATCAATGATCACATATATGTCTCCAAAAATATTGTGAAATTGCGAATGATGAACATTTTCTAAAACACATTACTGAATCTTAAGTAGGAAAGACTGGAAACTGAAATCCTGTCTAAAAGGTTTTTATTTGATATTTACAGTATGTCATCAATAAAATGAACGATCACACCTGTCATTATCTTCCTCAAATATTTTCAGACCTCTTCAAATCTAAACGATTTAATAAGCGCCGGTAAAACACTGATGATGCCTAGATAGTGCTGCCTATATGACAATAAACGTCATGATGAAAAAAGCCTAAATCCGGTTTGATACCCCGCTCCTCGGTCTTTCGGATAACCGAGGCTATATCAGGATCGTTGGCGGAACGGGGCGACTCTTTACCACACACTACCCCGAAAATAACAGGCGTTGCAATACGGGCAACCACACGAAACAATAAATTATTCAAATGAAGACCAAGCAGTTCATTTACATGAATACCCTATCATTTTATATCCTATACTCTAAAAAAGTAAGACAACATGAAAAACAAACGAACTAAAAGGTAACAGAAATTGTCGTCACGTGTCGTTATACTTTGGTAAAGAGGCAATGAATCTCGTGACTGTTCGGCGTTTTTGTTGTTGTTGTTGTCATATGTTTTATTTCTTTTTTTTTCTTATCTTTTAAATTTAATTTTAATTTTTTTAGTTATTTATTTATTTATATTTTTTGCGGGGGGGGGGGGGGGTAAAGCAAAAAAAAAATATCTTGGTGTGTTAGCCATTGATTTATCCATTTTCATCTTATCCAATTATTTCCGGTTTATTGAATTAACTAATTGCACCGTAAAAAGCAATAAATCAATGTTTACTTTGAGGCGGTTATTAATATCAAAATATCGACAATTTAGAATTTACAAAAATTGTGTTCTATCCGAATTTTCTGCTAGACTGGAAATGCGTGGCTTTTTTAATTTTCTCACGTGTTCATATGAGTTATTCAATTAAAAACACATCAAGAAAGGTTTTATTAATTGAATTTGACGTCGATAAAATACTTTATCCACGCAATCGATCTGTAACTTGACTGACCCATGGCCCGGCATGTTCTAGATTATTTTTGTTGCATATAGACAAGTTGACTGATACCAGAAATTAGCAGATTTACTGATTGGCAAAATAACTTTTAATAACTTTTTTATTTGTGGATCGATTATTTAGATTGTTATATCATTTTCAGAGATAAGGACAAAAACACCCCAGAATACTCGTACATTAATCTTCGATCTACGGACAACCTAATTAAGGACAAACTGGTAGCGAAGTAGTTATATGGTGTCTGCTTCTCAACCCAAGAACCATGGGTTCGAGATCTCCTTGGCTAAAGACCTCATATATTTCAGTGTCATAATTCTTATTGTTGCAGGAACCGGACTCTAGAGTCCTTCAAATAAAATACAGGCTTTGTTCAAATAGATATTTTATAACTGTTGTGTTTAAACAAAACTGATCTCTTCTCTCAAAATTACATGATGGTCACAGGCAGCTTCTGCTTAAGATAAGTCCTCTCTCGTACACTACATGGTCAGTTACTAAACAATTACTGCACAATCGCTGACTTCGATGCGCTTGCCACTCACCATGGTAGATCGCTCTTCAATTAAAGGGAAGGAACTGCAGTGCACAGATTGTGTAGCAGCGTCCAGGTTATTGCCCTTGAATGTGTTGCTTATGTCGGCTGAAGTACTGCTGAAAGATGCAGTTACATGACATACAATAGAGCAAAATAATCGCGAAATCTAGACTGCCATACATATACATGAAATAAAAGTATATTTGTAACAAATGAATAGCAAATTTAACGTCCTTCTTCCTGTTTTACATTTTCTTCTCTAACTTGTTCACATAATTATTATGTACTCATAGTTCATAGACTTCTGAAAAAAAAATGTATTCCAGATCTGCTTGTCTTTTCCTTGCAGTCGTCGGACTCTTCTGTTTGTCGTCTGCGGCCGATCAATTTGTCTGTAATATATCGTACGACGACAAAATGATGGAAAAAATGATAGCAACACAAGTTAAAGTGGAGCATATGGTGAAGGCGTTTAGTAAAGCAGAAGATCGCGTTACGACAATGCTGGATAACTTCAAACAAATGCTGGACCAACAAAATGAAAAGCACGATGCCTTAAAAAGAGAAATAGCCGACTTAAAAGGTAGGGATCTTTATCTTGATCTTTATCTCATTTTGTATTTAATCAATTTAACTTTTAATTAACATATTACTTTTAAATTGTTGTTCTCGCTACATAACTAGGATGCTGACCAATGTTAATCAGCATCATAAAAAAGTTTAAAATCATATCATACCGTATCATATCATATCATAAATGTTACGTCATCATTCATTATATTGTATTTTCAGACAATGCTATCGTGCCAACGGTTGCCTTTCTTGCTTACAACCTTAACGATGCATCTGCCGAGGAAGGTGATAGACTCAGATTTACCGTCAAACATTTTGATGTAGGTTCAGGGTATGAACCTCTGACTGGCATGTATACAACACCAGTTTCCGGCGTGTACCAGTTCACAGTTCAGCTTTATATTGCAAATGGTCAATGGTGCTTCTTTCATATCAGATCAAAGGATAAAATTATCATGAAAACAGTTTTCTATGACGACGCGGGCTCCCATTATGGTACCCAAACTGCTGTCGGCACGGCCGTTCTAGATGCAAACACAAAGGTATGGATAGAGACTGAAAAATCATCCAGTGGAAATGATTTCTTCTTCCCTCATCAACATAGGGCTTGGAACAGTTTCTCCGGTGTCCTAATCAACACTATTAATTAAAATCAGTAAAGTGAAGATAGTTTGATATTATAATATTAAGTGTACAATTTGTGTTAGTTAATTGTAAGACAAACATGAAATCAGCAAAGATTCCTTCATTTAAATAATGTTAGAACCTGGGTAAAAGATAAATCTAATAAAAAAAATCCAGTTGCATCAAAGTTCTGTAATCATATTTTATATGCATGTATTATTTCTCAGTTATAAATAAGTGAATATTATATTGTGTACATGTATGTCTGGCTGAAATAAATAAATAAACAAACTCCTATCTAGATCTTGTTTATTTGAGTTTATTTACTCGCCACCGATTGCGATATGGGCGAGTCCAAGAGTATTAGTCATTTTAGATGTTGGAGGGTGTTAAATGGTGTTCAATTTCCAGAAGTTTTCCTGGTTCCTTGACGTGTCAAGTGTTTAAGCACAATACACGGGACTTCGATTAAAAGTCCGGTCCGAAACACTTAGTCTAATCAAACCCGCAATGTCGAAATTATCACGCTCTGACCTATTGAGCTTTACGTACGGGCTGACTCCCTTGAACTTCCTGCGTGGCATACATGATATAAAAGTACATGTTTATTTCACACAATATAAAATGTAAACAATGAACTCTCGGCAATTGCTTTATGTGATATTCCGGCCATTACAAATCATGATAAGATCCTATCTTATCAATTTAGCCTCCTTTCAAAGTCCAAGAAATCCATATCAAATTCATATTAATTGTACTTCGTGTAGTCCAGTTTTCATTTTCGAGTATAAAAATCCATATCAAATTCATAGAATATGTAGCCCCGTTTTCATTTTCAGAATCCAGAAATCCATATCATTTGAATCCATATTTTACTCTAAACACAGACTTTTATTGACAATTAATTAAGGTACGTGTTCCAATAAGGTAACTCTACAGTTAATATAATATAAAAAACTACATGTTTATTATGTCTTCTGTAATTTTATGAATTTTACCTTCAATATTGGTAGTGTGAATTAATATTGATATTAATAGAGTTACAAAGAACTTTATAACAGCACTTCAAGCACGATACGGATTTAATTGAAACTCTGAGCACGCAAAGTCCAGCAAAGTCACGAAAAGTCAAGAAAAGTCTTCACGCAAAGTCTAGCAAAGTCATTTATTTTCTTAAATTTCTATCTATATTTAACATTATATTGATATTCACATGGAACTAAATATACATATGTATATATCTGTGATATTCAGCAAGAAAAAAAAGTTCTTTGGATGTAATTTTAGGCAAACATGTTTTAGAATACGGGGGCTAGCGCAATTTGCGTATTATATGCGGCAGTCACTTTTGATAATAATAAGATAATAAGATATGATGGCAAATCATCAATGAAATTGCAATTGCCTTAAAAAAATGCCTGTGTTTTTGTTTGTGTTACGTTTTGACCTGCAGCCGATATTCGTTGGTACGGGTACGGGATTTTAATCATTCCGGAATAATGGATTACTCTTCATAAAGAAGATTTGCCGGGATTTTCCAATTATCCGCAAAATTGAAAATATGGTTCAAGTCGTCGTAAAGCTGTAAATAAAACCTTGTGTTTACTATTTTCTCACGTGTTATCGAAACTGTTCAATAGGTTTAATGTCTTACTCTATATATCAGAAAAAATGGTATTCTAGAAAAGACTACAATACATTTGTTAGGGGCGCCGTTTGTTAGTCGCTAGAAGTAGAAAAATTATTCCAATGAATGAATGACATCTCTGACAAATAAGAATCAATGCCCCTTTATTCCCCTTGTCCAGAAATGAACCGCAAATACTAAAAACTATCCCCTTCTCCACCTTTGGATAACTAATCTCACAGAGATATATTTGATATAATAATAAAATCACTGCTAATCTGAAATACGCCAGTGGTTAATAGGGAAGTTTATCACACAACCGTACAGATTTTGCGACTCCGTAAAAATGGTATTGCACGGCCGTGCATATATGTTGATGTGACGTCATTCACGTTTTGATTGATTTATTTGTGTATATATATATGTCATATTACAAAACAAATTAAGACAATTTATCACAGTTATATCTATCACATTGTTTTTAACCGGCGGCACGAAATACCCAAATATACCCAAATACACCCAAATATTGCCCAAATATACCCAAATATAGCAATATTTATTTTTGTTTGTATAAAATATAGATTATAATGAGAAATAAATAAATATTTATAAAATGACATGACTAAGCCTGCTATAACTTTCATTCATTCCGTTGAAATGGGCAGTTAAGATGTTGTAAGAAAATAAAGTTGTGACATTTGCTTATCTACAATATCGCTTCTTTATGAATGCAATTTTAATTCAAGATATGATATTTGTTGTCTACACTTACATTTTTAAGGTGTAATTTTGTTGAAATTTCATATCATAATAGAGGAAGAAGTCCATGTTATTAAAAAAAGCTTTAATGGAGTACATATACTGTATCTTGGTTCAAAACACAATGATAGGAAAATGTATATTTGGGTATGTTTGATTATATCTTAGTGAAAGTGTATATTGTATTCATGATTAAAACAGCACTTTTTTAGTATAAAACATTTATTTTTAGTATAATTGGACAATATTTGGGTATATTTAGGCAATATTTGGGTATATTTGGGCAATATTTGGGTATATTTGGGTGTATTTGGGTATATTTGGGTATTTCGTGCTGCCCTTCAACAGTAATTAATTGAAAAATAATAACTTTACATTCATAAATAAATCAAAGAACTTGTTGACTTCAAGACAATATATACAACACAGGATAACCCATGAAAGTTCAATATAAAATAGAGAACTTATTTCCAATGGGGTCCTTTGATGGTAAAGAATATATTTTCTTGAGAACTGGCATTCAGGTCCATACTAAGAGATGATATACTGGACTGATGTTAAATTTCTAAGATCAAATAATATTAATTTCTATTGCACATTATGTTAATTACATATATCACATATTTGCAGGAATAATACTATGAATATGACTAGTTAACACACCAATGAAAGATATCTATTTATATATATCACAAAACCAATCACAAGATACATATAAAACATACTATATTGATTAAAACAATTATCTCTAAAACTAATAAAAATAAAATCAGCTTGTTCAAATTGATTCATATTTTTGCTTAGTTCAGCTTTTTACTTTCTTTTTTAAAGTTAAAAAAGTTACTTTCCTTTTTAATATCAAGTGGGAGCATGTTCCAATCCCTAATACCCTGGTAAAAAAATGTACTTTTTGTAAAACTATTAACATGGGGTATATGAAAGTTCCCGACACTGTTTCTACTATTATAACAATGAACATCAGACTTTAAAGAAAAGTTATCATACATATAAGATGGACACTTTTTATTAAATATTTTGTGTACATGATTAAGTCTTAACTGCATGACTCTATTTTCTATATTAAGCCACCCAATACTGCTAAAATCAATAACTTTCAATGATTTTCTAGAGGAATAACCATGAATATAACGAACAACTTTGTTTTGTGCTACTTGAAGTTTATGTTTAAGTTGTTTAGTAAGGCCACTATACCAAGATGAGCTGGCATAATCGAAGTGACACTGTATTAAAGAGTTACATAATAGTTTTCTTAGCTCCATATTCAAACTGTTGCCTTGTCTGTACAAAAATTTTAATCGAGAGTTTACTTTTTGTACTATATTATCAACAATAGAAGTGGCTGAGAGATCATTATCCAAGATAGAACCGAGATACTTTACTGATGGCTGAGATTGTATGGTGTGATTATTACAGTGTATTTTATACGTTATACAAATAGGGTAAACCGGTAAAGACGGGCTAAATGTTAGTGTTAAACTATAGGCGCGTCAATGAAAAAATAACTATTTTTTCACTTTAAACAGTCTTTATTTTGGGTATGTGATAAATAGAATATTAAATTTGTGTAAGTTCATTACTGAATTTATTAAACTCGTTGAATAAAATAATATCATGCTTGCCAGAGGCTCGCATAATATAATTTTATTCTACTTGTTCAATAAATTTAGTATTGAACTTGCACTATTTTAATATCCTCTATAAATTATCCAACTTATATATATACACTTTCCAAAGAAACATCGAGATACATTTTGGATGAGCAATGTCTTTATTCAAGTCCAACCACAAACTGCATTATTGTCCTGTCCAAATTTTCACAGGGACCCAGCACAGTGTTGGGATAGTGTAAAAAAAGTAATTCTAGAAAAAAATATATACTGTATATACTGTATATATAATATGTATATTATATATACAGTATATATTTTTTTCTAGAATTATTTTTTTTACACTATCCCAACACTGTGCTGGGTCCCTGTGCAAATTTTGTCCAGTCCATAACCTTGTATTTTTTATGGATGGATTTTTTTTAATAATTTTGTACATTTGGGCAATTTGTGATGTGCAACATCTTGGTCTGAAGCTCAAAAGTCAAGGTCACACTCTGACTTCAAAGGAAATTTTTAATAAAAATGCACTGACATGTTCATGTCCGATCAACAATTCTGTCATTGATGGATGGATTAAATAATTATTATGCATAATATATGTTGGACATAATGATGACGTCTCCCGCTTAAGAAAACAAAATTTCCTTATCAGTCAGGGAAATTAAACACATTACAGTTATACATCTAACAACTCAAAAGTTCATTCATGTCTTCCAGACCACAATGGCATAATTGAATGGCCATGGTCCTTCAGAATGCTGCTGACATGTTCACAGTCAAGGGATTATGCATTAAGATATATTTGATTAGTTTGTATTACAAAATGTAAATGTTTTTCAACTTCCTCAAATAGCATTGGCATGCCAACTTATATTTTTTAGCTCGACTATTCGATAAGAATAAGTAGAGCTATTGCAGTCACCCGAGCGTCGGCGTCGGCGTAACCACTTATGTTAAAGTTTTTGTAATAGTTCAAAATATTTTCAAAGTCCATTGACATATGGCTTTGAAACTTTGCACACTTGTTCACCATCATGACCCCAACCTGTAGACAGGAGGAGGTAACTCTATCAAGCATTTTGACAGAATTATGCCCCTTTTTCGACTTAGAATTTACGTTAAAGTTTTTGTAATAGTTCAAATATTTTCAAAGTCCATTGAACATATGGCTTTGAAACTTTGCACACTTGTTCACCATCATGACCCCAACCTGTAGACAGGAGGAGGTAACTCTATCAAGTATTTTGACAGAATTATGCCCCTTTTTCGACTTAGAATTTACGTTAAAGTTTTTGTAATAGTTCAAATATTTTCAAAGTCCATTGACATATGGCTTTGAAACTTTGCACACTTTGTTCACCATCATTACCCCAACCTGTAGACAGGAGGAGGTAACTCTATCAAGCATTTTGACAGAATTATGCCCCTTTTTCGACTTAGAATTTACGTTTAAAGTTTTTGTAATAGTTCAAATATTTTCAAAGTCCATAGACATATGGCTTTGAAACTTTGCACACTTGTTCAACATCATGACCCCAACCTGTAGACAGCAGGAGGTAACTCTATTAAGCATTTTGACAGAATTATGCCCCTTTTTCGACTTAGAATTTACGTTAAAGTTTTTGTAATAGTTCAAATATTTTCAAAGTCCATTGACATATGGCTTTGAAACTTTGCACACTTGTTCAACATCATGACCCCAACCTGTAAACAGGAGGAGGTAACTGTATCAGGCATTTTTTTTACTATCAAGCACTAAGAATAGTCGAGCATGCTGTCCTACCGACAGCTCTTGTTTACAATTACAAATGGTCATAACTTTGTCAAGTTATATAACTGTGTTAACAATAATTTTCAGCAATCTTTCCTTCCACAACTGAGTGTATGGGTAAACCTTTTTGAAAAATTTGTTACTGACAAGAAATTGGGCAGAGGCAATTTGTGTTTATCAAGCATGTTCTTGTTTCTTATCTGTTTACAAATTTCATTGTTTCACTATAACTGTCTTTTTTATTATTATATACAGTCCAGGGGCAAAGAATGGTGAAACAAAGGAATGGGCCATGATTGAACTACAAGGTACATTGGAGACCCGACATCCTGTTCCGCTCAGTGGACGGTTTATTGGTGATCTTCATTTTACACATAAGGTATTTCTGCATAGATTATGTCACAGGATTCTTTGGTTTTAAGCAATTGTTTTCTTCAATGCTGGAGTTTGAAAGGAGACTTTGAGACTCCATTAAGATTAAGACTCAATGTGTGTAGAAAGTAAAAATCTTGATTGATTATGGATTCCACATGGTCATGAGATTTATAAAAATTGATTCATACAGTGCAACTTTTGCAGATTTGTAGAGCAATAATCTCTTTACAAGAACAATTATTTCCATAGTAAGACTTTGTTAGTCTCCAAAGCAACACCTTTCAATAACATAGCCAAAATAATTTTCTCCAGAAAGGTGTAGCTGTGCTGAGGTAGTTTATATGTGCTTTCAAAAATTGGACTCCAGGAAAATTCTTTTTATTGGACTCCAGGAAAATTCTTTTTATTTGAAACAACATAAATGTTTTTCAAAAAGGAAATTTTGGAAATTTATGTCTGGAAACCTTAATTAATCGAAAATTAAGAGCTATGAAAGAAATTACTTAAGTTAACATTTTACTTGTATACAATTGAAGCACTTGGCACATCATAAACCATCAAAATAAAAAACACCATTTGCCATATGCATTTGCATTTTCTTGTATAAACTATGTTTGCTTATGCTTGTGTTTTATTGTTAAACATTAAGTCCCTAAAACATTTTGGGGCTAGTGACTTGGAGTGGTTAAGTACCTGACTTCAATTCACTTGCCTCTTTACGCTGCAGGCTTGAATCCCAAGACCCTCCGAGTAGAGGTGCACAGTTTAACCAGTATACGGTAAACCGCAGTCTGAAACAACTGCGGTATGTACAGCGGTATATACCGCCGCGGTACAGACCTGGAAAACCGGTACTTTTTGCTCTAATGAAAGAAATTACAGATCCGTAAAAATCATTTTTAGCTCACCTGTCACAAAGTGACAGGGTGAGCTTTTGTGATCGCTTTTCGTCCGGCGTCTGTCCGTCCGTCGTCCGTCCGTAAACTTTTACTTTAAATGACATCTCCTCATAAACCACTAAGCCAATTTCATCCAAACTTCACAGGAATGTTCCTTTGGTGGTCACCTTTAAAAATTGTTCAAAGAATTTAATTCCATGCAGAACTCTGGTTGCCATGGCAACCGAAAGAAAAAACTTTAAATATCTTCTTTTAAAAAACCATAAGAGCTAGAGCTTAGATATTTGGCATGAAACATCTTCTAGTGAGTGTCTACCAAGTTTGGCCACACCCCGGGGGGTCATTGATTTTCCCTATATGCATATAGTAAAAACTTAAAAAATCTTTTTTTAAAGAACCCAAAGAGCTAGAGCTAAGATATTTAGCATGAAATATGTTCTAATGGATGTCTACCAAGTTTGTTCAAATAAAAGCCCTGGGGTCCAAATTGGCCCTGCCCTGGGGTCCAAATTGGCCCTGCCCTGGGGGGTCATTGATTTTCCCTATATGCATATAGTAAAAACTTAAAAAATCTTCTTTTAAAGAACTCAAAGAGCTATGGCTAAGATATTGAGCATCAAACATGTTCTAATAGGTGTCTACCAAGTTTGTTTCAAATAAAAGCCCTGGGGTCAAAATTGGCCCGCCCCAGGGGGTCATTGATTTTCCTATATGCATATAGTAAAAACTTAAAAAATCTTCTTTAAAGAACCAAAAGAGTTAGAGCTAAGATATTTAGCATGAAACATGTTCTAATAAGTGTCTACCAAGTTTGTTCAAATAAAAGCCCTGGGGTCAAAATTGGCCCCGCCCCGGGGGGTCATTGATTTTCCCTATATGCATATAGTAAAAACTTAAAAAATCTTCTTTTAAAGAACCAAAAGAGCTATGGCTAAGATATTTAGCATCAAACATGTTCTAATAGGTGTCTACCAAGTTTGTTCAAATAAAAGCCCTGGGGTTAAAATTGGCACCGCCCCGGGGGTCATTGATTTTCCTTATATGTGTATAGCAAAAACTTAAAAAATCTTCTTTGAAAAAACCAAAATAGCTAGAGTTAAGATATTAAGCATGAAACATCTTTTAGTGAGTGTCTACAAAGTTTGTTCAAATAAAAGACCTTGGGTCAAAATTGGCCCCGCCCCGGGGGGCATTGATTTTCTTTATATGTGTATAGCAAAAACTTAAAATCTTCTTTGAAAAACCCAAATAGCTAGAGTTTAGATATTAAGCATGAAACATCTTCTAGTAAGTGTCTACAAAGTTTGTTCAAATAAAAGCCCTGGCCCGGCCCCAGGGGTGTCATTGTTTTTAACTATATGTGTATAGTAAAAACTTAAAAAAAATCTTCTTTTAAAAAGCCCAATGAGCTAGAGCTTAGATGTTTAGCATGAAAACATCTTCTTATGGGTGTCTACCAAGTTTGTGCAAATAAAAGCCCTTGGGTTAAATTGGCCCTGCAACGTTGGGGGGGGGGGGGGGGCCTATATACAGGTGAGCGACCTCAGGGCCATCATGGCCCTCTTGTTTGTTGTTTATGTCAATATTTCTTTGAATTAACCTTTTTGGAAACAACTTTCGCCGACTTTTATCATTCCCCGATAGTTCTAAGCGAAAATTGAATGCTGTGCAATTTATATAACAGTAGTTAAATTTTGAAAGAGACCAATATGAAATTAAAAAAAAAACAAGAACTGATCCATGACCCAATTAATTTATGATTGTCACCATGCACAGCATATTTGATGTTTTTGAATTTTGTTGAACGTACCTGATTGAAAAAAGTTAAATGATGCTTTGATTAATCTGCATTTTATAGATCTGCTTTAATTTAATATTTGAAATTCTATACCAGCCTACCTTGATACTTATTTTAGAGATAAAAAATAAACCTATAGCATACAATGAAAATCTGTGGTATACCATGGTTTATACCGTGGTTTTTAGAAAAAAACCATGGTAAATTGTGGTATTTTCTTTCTTGCGGTACCCAACTCTTGGCATTTTGAATTCTTTACTGGAAGATCATGGTGGTTCTACTCAGATGCCTGCTTTTGCCTAAAATAATGTACAAAGAAGCATCAGAGGTCTTCCTCTTCCAATAAAGCTGGAAATTAACATATGACCTTCAGTGTCTACAGTGTTGGTGTGACTTGAACTTTAACAAAGCAAACACACAAACATGAATGATGCAGATAATTGAAAAATGAATGTATTTTGTAAAAGAATTGATGAATAAAGAAACTTAAAATGTGGTTTCTAAAAATCTTTATAGCTATAGATATGTATGTGTACATGTATATCAATTGGCAATGAACTTGCCTGTTTATCTTGTACTCAACTGTGCTTTAATAAATTATAGAATGTTGTACATCAATTAGAGTGAAATATGTTTATTTTTTTCATTTCAGGATGTGCCTGTACTCATTATTGGACATCATATATTATACGGGAAAGTAGTGACTCTTGAAAAACCATATGGTATCATGGTCAAGGAATCGTCAGATGAAGAGACCGGCGGCCCTCCTACCTACAACATAACAGCTGTTATAAAAAAGAAACTGTTATTCAAAACACGGCCAAAACCTATTATAGCAAATGTTCCGAAGAAAATTTGAACTCTTCTGACTGTATACGTAGGGATTTATATTATGTATGTGTGCAGAGGCTGTAGAAAGTGGACATTTTCTTACATATCAGACTGGTGTTTCTGTTAATTTTGCATATGTCTGAAATTTCATCAATGCACTTGTAAAATCATACTCTTCTGGACTATATATAACAAAGTAAAGGATGAATTGAGGTTTATTTCATTGAGATAGATTAAAACATGTTTTCTGCTTTGAAAGTTGTTGATTCTGGACAGCATCTTTATTCTTTTTAAGGAAAATATTGAATATTTTTTAGACTTGTTTTCCAAATGTTTCTTTTATTTATTTTATGTAATATTATATTTGTATAACAGGGCTAGGAATGAAAATATGTGAATGGGGAAATCTGAAACACTACCTGGAACAGTTTGAGTAAAACACATGGCACACTGGTGTTGATTAAAACTGTTGGTTACTAGTATTTGCTATATTTTATTATATTTATACCAATCAATTTTTTTTTTAACCATTTATTTTAAAGTTTTTTTCGTTCATTTTCTTTATGTTATGTACCGATTGCTATTCTGAATTACAGTTGTTCCCCTTTGACTTGCATCACTACTATGTATGTAAGAATGCCAAAGGTTTTCATTTCATTTAAAACATATATAGTGAATACATGTGAAGAATTTAATCATGTAGAAAAAAATTATATTGTTTTGATTTATTATGCAGCATTCTCAATATGTTCAAATTTTTAAATGAAAAAAATGTAACAAATAGTTGATCATAACTGAATATGTGCAGAATCAGGTACGTATATTAATATACGTACCTGGCAGAATCTATACATCACAAGTTTATAACCTGCTAAATTTGTGTAATGGATTTTGCCTAGCTTTAAATTTAGAAAAGTCCTGATTTCAATATCAAAATACACCATGTACAAAAATTTGAGCTGCTTACAGACTGCACTGCACGGATAAAAAAAATCTGCATATGTTGGAATGTTGTTTAATTATTGTTATAATTGACAGGAAACAAGTTGAAAGCTCTCTTGAATTTTGACACTTTGCACTTAGATAACTGTCTCCAAAACCGTTTGATCCACCTTTTCCGCTATAATGTTTAATGTTTATTTTTTGTCATTCATTTCTTTTCTTTATTTCTTAAAGGAAGCTTTGTCTCAAATATGGTTTAAGTAATAATTTTCATTAAACAGATTTCATACATGTAAACTTGGATGACTTTTTTTTGTGTACAAATCTGGTTTAAGCCAGGATTTGCATATGGAAATCATGTCGCAACAAAATGATTGCTGTGTAATGCAGCACAAAGGGTTCATAGGGTTGATGCCATCAAGAAAATGAATATGGTGAATAATTGCAAAACTTTTAGACTTTGATGGAGGTCTTTACGTATCTAAAAGACTTGTGTCATATCCTAAAAATATAGGATCTTACATGTACAATAGGTAACATGTGTAATGTCACTAATGTGTAATTTCCTAAAAATACATGTATAGGATCTCATGAGTTACAATATCATGTTAAATTTATTTAACTAGTTCAAGACATTGTTAAAAAAGGAGTCTGTTAAGGGTCAAGCTTTATGTCTCATTTTTGACAAGTTTATATATGATAACAAATGTGAGATTCTTTCTATTACATTATTAAATACATTGAAATTAATGAAAACGATCTTGTTTTAATGTTTAATGTATGCTTATGTTTGCTGATGTTATATAACATTGTGTATAATAGAAAGAAATAGTCATGAGATAAAAAAAACTACTCAAGTTAGATGCTGTATATTTTATACTCCGGGCACATGGTGCCTTCATTCTGTCAGATCAAGATAAATACTATAAGTATTATGTCTATCATTACGCAAAGTTATTTTATGTTCTTATGAGTCTTTACGGCCAATGGCACTGGTTTGTCTAGGAAGCCGAGATCAAATCAGTTAAGCTAGTAAAGAGACAGGCAATACTGTACATGTGTAGCCTGACCAGATTCTATAACTGATGGCTGCTTAACCCATGACATGCTCATTTTGTCTCATAAATTTGCCCTACTTTGAATTTGGAACAGTCAATTTAAATTTTAAGGTATAACAAGGATGCTGACTTGGCTTTGCACTGGTATCACAGGGTCATCAGGCTGATCACTCAGATCCACAAGGTAAAGGGGAAATTCCTTAGAATAGAAAAAAGGGCTGTTCCGATTTTAAAGAATACAAACTGGGCTGTTTTATATTCAAAGCAGAGCAAGCCCATCATACAAATTCAGGGTAAAGATTAATGAATCAAAATTAACTTGTTTATATATGTAGATCATATTCATGAAAAATAAAATTGACATGATAATATTGTGTTTACTCAAACTTGGTCATTTTAAATAATATTAAAGTATCATTTAATGAAATACTAGCCTAAACTTTAAAGCTACAGGTTTCTAACATGCTGTCGTTTATGAGGTGACCTTGAAAAAAGTCTTACTGTATAATGTAAGAATTTACTAAACGCTTAAAGCTGCATGCTTCTCTTTCTTTAATAAAAACAAGGAAGTGAAAATGGTTATAAAACAGTAAAAGTCAGTCTAATTTTGCATTGCTCTGTGGTTGTGAGGCTTTAAATGGAAAATATTATGATTCTGTTACATCAGTTATTGAATTTTTATAACCTTTACTCATTTGGTTTTAATCTTAGTTAGTTAGATAAGACTAGTATATGTGAGTGGCTTAAATTCCTTTGTACCTGCTTTGAAACCACCAACCTTCATCAATATATTACTGGTTAAATATCGAGCAAAGTCAATTAGGTGATCGTCCACCAGGATATGACTTAAAAAGTGTTGAGTTCAGAGTAAAAACCAAACAAACATCATCTTGGTATGAAATTTTGCATTGTAACTGTAGTAAATTTGTTTGATATAGTTATTGTTATAATAATGAAAGGTTGTGATACACTAAAATCATAAGCTGTAACTTTTAAATTGAGTACTTAATTTAAATGATGTAAAGATTTGAAAAGATGCATGTTATCATACACGCTTGAAATAAAGTTAAAGATTATAACGTTCCAAATATTTGAAATATCCGCTTTTCTATACAATCATAACATTACAGACAAGGAGAAAGATTATCTTGAATTGGGGTCGCAGGTTGGGCTGGATCACAAAACAATGTTAAGCTCATAATTATGGTGACTTCCTTTTTTACTGGTGAAGGTAGACCTTAGGTGCCTCCAAAGTGCAATATTTTTAGGTATTGGAACTACCAACATTCTCCTAGCTATCTAGAGCTTTGAAAGAATTGAACCTACAGCAGTGAGTGGCAAGTAAGACAGAAACTTGGCCATGGAGGCCCATTGCTGGCAGCAGAGCTGCATCAGTACTTAGGGTCTAGTACTTAAGTACCAGAACTTGCCAAGTTATGCAGTACCATTTCCAGTACCAGTACTAAATTTTAGCTTGGTACTGCAGTACCAGTACTTTTTTGGGGGAAGTAATTAAGTATCAGTACCATTACTTTTATATATTCATCAAAGTTTGAATAAATACAAAGTGTCAAACAAATAGTTGCAAATATTATTCAGCAAAGAAATAAAATCATAATTAACTTTAAAGTTAACATTACATTTTTACAACTTTATAGTTTTAACATACTTTTTACAAACAATAATTTACAATATTTATTCATGTCATATCTTATTGTTTAGTAACCAGTCAACTGTAATACAATGCAATCATCTTTTATTTAAAACACAACAATCTTTCTTGCCTTTTACACCTTCACACCTCTGTTCAAATTATACCAAAGAAAACAAGCATTTGATAGTATTGCGGGCAATACAGTAGTCCCCTACCGGTCCCTCAAAAAGTTCTTTAATTGTCATACACTCCTGTGTATTGCCATTAATAATGAATTTGAGGATGAAGTCTGTATTTGAAAATATCGACCACAAAACATAATAAAACAAGTTTCATAAAAATATTTCCAGTACTTTTTGAGTTATCACTGGATTCCGTTTATGTGTAAAATTTGCCATATTTTCAGTCTATGTGTTGCCATAGCAACCAGAATTTTCAACATAGGAAGAAGAGAAAAAAACGTGCATAATTTCAAGACTGCCATCTACCCATATGTCAAGTTTCATAAAAATATTTCCAGTACTTTTTGCGTAATCACTGGATCCAGTTTATGTGTAAAATTTGCCATATTTTCAGCCTATTTGTTGCCATAGCAACCAGAATTTTCAACAAAGGAAGAAAAGAAAAAGACGTGCATAATCTCAAGACTGCCATCTACCCATATGTAAAGTTTCATAAAAATATTTTCAGTACTTTTCAAGTTATCACTGGATCCAGTTTATGTTGAAAATTCTGGTTGCTATGGCAACAAATAGGCCATATTTTCAGCCTATTTGTTGCCATAGCAACCAGAATTTTCAACATAGGAAGAAAAGAAAAAGACGTGCATAATCTCCATACTGCCATCTATCCATATACCAAGTTTCATAAAAATATTTTCAGTACTTTTCAAGTTATCGCGGGATCCACTTTTGCGGACTGACGGACTGACAGACAGACAGACGGACGGACAGACGGATGGAGGGTAAACCTAAAGTCCCCTCCGGTAAACCGGTAGGGGACTAATAACAACTTTTTATGGTGCTAACGATATCACTTGAAATGGGATTATTTAGAATAGAAGGAATTAATTAGTGATTCTTTTGCTCTTTTACTAGTAAATACAAAGTAATGAAATATTTTAATACGGAAATTTAAGGGTAGAGTTATTGAGTCTGTTTATCTCAATTTAATTTTTACTTAAAGTCTTTGGTGCATTTTTATGATGAATACTATGTTAACATTTGAAGGAATATTGCAGCAAATTATCTATAGATTTGATAACTTACTTTTTCACAAAAATAAAATAATGTAATTTACAGCTTTATTTTATGAGAAAAATTGATGCTATTTTTATCAAAACCAAAAGTACTGCCTAGTAATGCAGTAGCAGTACCACTTTTTAAGACAGTAATGCAGTACCAGTACCAGTAGTAGCAAAATTTTGTAAGAGTAATTCAGTATCAGTACTTGCAAAATCGCTGCAGTACGTACTGCAGTACCAGTACCAGTAATGCAGCTCTGGCTGGCAGGTTGAACAAAAGTTACCCACTTTCTGTTCAAGCCAGGTTATTTGCACCATTTATCCAGCCAGTTAGTGTCCATTGATATGACATGGCTATGGAAGGTTTCTACATTCTCCTATAGATATAAGATGATACCAACATTGTGGTTTATCTGCTTGAAGAGATATCTGGGATACATAAAGATGACAGCAGTGGTGCCCTAGGCTTTACAGGACATATTTCTTCCTTTGTTAAACATAATTCCTATTATCGACCACCAATATTTAGTAAGTTGTTGTTGTGGGAAATAAATCACGTCAGTAATGTAATGGTCATATTGTGACATTTTAGTTTTAATGGTGGAGGTAGCCCTCTAGGCATTATTTCAGTCAGGACCAAGCACTAATCTTGAACCAGCAATGTTCAGTAAACTAGCTGTATAATATCGAGTAAAAACCCATTATCGTCCTATCTTTGTAGGTGCCTTAGAACAGAAATTAGGGCTATCATGCTAAATTTTTTCCCAAAGTCATTGCAGGATTAGAATGGTCAGATTGAAATGTAAATGGAAGCCTCTTAATACGAACAAGGAAAGCAGTTGGAAATATAAATTATTTTGCAAAGGCAACATATCACGTGAAATAAAAAGAACAATAGTTTGTTTTTTACTTGTGTTTATTCTTTCATTTTCATCACTTTCACATAAAAATATTGCTTTTTCTCTTCTATATCACATGAGAAAAATAATCTTTAACAAATCCATGAGACATTTATCGTTTCATTACAAATTTACAAGCAATAGAATATCAAGTTTCATAAAAATCTGCAATATCTTTTTACATTACTAATCTTATTGCTTACTAAAAGGTAAAAAAAACCATTGTAATTCATTATGCCATTTAGATATATTTTTATTTTTCTCCATCATATTATGGTACATTTAAAGCATCAATTTTGAAGTATTGATTGAATTCTTTACCTTTGTACCAAAATTCTGTACCCGTAAAATACTAGTATACCCACATTTGGGTATGCATTTTTTTTTTTACAAAATATGATAAAACACAATTTGGCCAAATGAAAGAAAAGAAAATATTTATCAGCTTAAGAATTTCATTGTAAATAATTCTTACAAAATAATTATAAATCTGGGCATTTTTACCTTATTAGTAAGGGCTAATAAAAGACACCATTTAAACTCCACAATAATGTCTTATAATTTTTTAAAATTCCGACAACATAAATTCTTTTTTAACTTGTTTCATCAAGGAAGTTACAAGTATTGTGGTCACACATGAATAAAACTTTAATTTATAATAAAAGTTACATATCATGTAGTTTTTAACTTACATCTCAAATTTCTAAAAGTGCCACAATTTTCCCCAAAGTACATGTAAGTTTGGGACCTTTTCCCATAAACAGCTGGGAAAGACTCTATGAAAAATATGTGAATATTGTACATGCTGGTTAGATTTAATCCAGACTTCAATAAAGGATCAAACATAAAGAGATACAAAACGTGTTTAAACAAGTTTGTTAATTTCTATTAGGGAGTAAAATAGAATAGCCTACAGCAGTGAAGGCATCAACATGTTGGGACTAGGCTTTGGATATGCTTTACTTAACATAACAACCTGCCTATATTTATAACAATATAGTCAAGAATTCTTGCAGTCAAAATAGTACTCATCTACCACATTAATGTTAACATATATATATATATATTCCACATTATAACATACATGTATTTAGGTCAAGGTATACATATCTCTTGAAAATATTTCAAAATAAACCTGTTGATAAGATATTTGACCTAACTGCAGTCACATTTACCTTTTTTTTACAGGACTCTGACCTAAAAACTCTGACCTAAAAACACCTGAAAATTATCACTACACAGTTTGCCAACCTGGGACTCCTGCAAAAATGCAAGGCTTTCATATTAAAAATAAGATAAAGTTATGTGACCTAAAAATATTGTCAAGAGATAAAATGATAAAAAGCAAAAAAGAAAGACTTAAAGATGTCAAAAAATGGAAAGTTTGTATATGATAAATAAAATGGGACTTCTGAATTAGTTTTTGAAAATTCGACCACCCCTCATCTCCCCCAACCCCCACAAAAGTATTCAATGCAAAACATAATTCTATGTACTTTTCCTGAAGCTATAATTAACTTCACAATTAAATCTGCCAAACAATTTACAGTCTGAAAAAATTCAACTGTTTCTGGGTTAACTGTATTAAAATTCATATCTTAACATGTAAAAAAATATTCTTTACACAAACAAATAACATGTAAATTATGCTTCAGAAATTAAGAAGCATTATATTTCACCACTAAGGGGCTGTAAGTAGGTATTTGATCCCTCAACCCTCCAACCCCCATCCCACCCGGAGAAAAAACAAACAAAAATCAGATACGCATATTCTACTGCAGCTGTGTTATATGTTGAAATGCTTATGTCCAAAAAAAAAAATGCAATCTATTGCAAATTTTCTACATTATGTAAACATCATAAATTATGTACAATAAAAATAGTTAACAACATATTCATAAACGTGTTTTCAAAGTATGCTCAAGATGAAATAAATAAAAGGCCTGACAAATGGCCATATTTACATGTACCATTTCACGACAAGAATTTTTCAGGCAAGAAACAGACTCTTCAAACTATAAATGAATGAATAAATAAACAAGCATTTGATAGTATTGCGGGCAATACAGTAGTCCCCTACCGGTCCCTCAAAAAGTTCTTTAATTGTCATACACTCCTGTATATTGCCATTTATAATGAATTTGAGGATGAAGTCTGTATTTGAAAATATCAACCACAAAACATAATAAAATAAGTTTGTCTATATCACAGTAATGTGTTAAGTTTCCATGCTTAGTAAGGAAATTATGTTTATACAACCTTGTCATATTATTTAAAGTAAATCCTATAAGGAATGAAGAAGTTGGAGTGAAAATACCAGTTTCTCGAAAAAAAATCTAAGTTCAAGGGGACATAATTCTGGAAATAGTCTTGCTAGAGTATTTAACCTTCTCAAAAATGTCGAGTGATAATAAGAAACATATATATGAAGTTTGAAGTAGATACATTAGGAAATAAAGAAGTTATTTAAAAAAGACAACATTTTTTCCCCTAAAAAATCTAAGTTCAAGGGAGGTAATACTGATATTTTTTGTGCTAGAGTTATAAGCCTTGTCACATATGATGTGGTTGATGACCAGAAAACTTATATTTAAAGTTTGAAGTAAACACCTTAAGAAATAAAGAACATATAGTGAAAAAGCTGAAAAATTTAAATCAGAAATCTTGAAATTCAGGCTATTTGTTGCCATAGCAACCAGAATTTTCAACATAGGAAGAAAAGAAAAAGATGTGCATAATCTCCAGACTGCCATCTACCAATATTTCAAGTTTCATAAAAATATTTTCAGTACTTTTTGAGTTATCACTGGATCCAGTTTATTGTGCTAAATTTGCCATATTTTCAGACTATTTGTTGCCATAGCAACCAGAATTTTCAACATAGGAAGAAAAAAAAAAGACGTGCATAATCTCCATACTGCCATCTATCCATATATCAAGTTTCATAAAAATATTTTCAGTACTTTTTGCGTTATCGCGGGATCCAGTTTTGTGGACGGACGGACTGACGGACTGACAGACAGACAGACAGATGGACAGACAGACGGACGGACAGACAGACGGACGGAGGGTAAACCTAAAGTCCCCTCCGGTTAAACCGGTAGGGGACTAATAAAAATGTGTTGAAATTCAAAATGAGGCATTGAATTTCTTTCATTTGAAAAGAATTTTTAATATCATTGCAGACCAAATAATCATGCTAAAAAAATCATAAATGATTTCAAAGTACCTAACAAATAATGAATGAAAAATCCTCATTACCCTTGTAATAGAAGTGCATTTAATATAAAAACAAACAAAGATATTTAAAGAAAAAAATTAAAATAAAATTTATAAGATATGCTGTTTTTGATTTTCAATAATCACAGATATAAAAGTGTTTGGATTATATACTTTACAAAATTTGCGGCAGTCGAAAAATGTAATTTTTTTCAGAACCAAGTTTAAAACATAAACTGTGTAAAATCTCTTAAGCATTGCTTACATTTAGCTGTACCTTTCTAAATGAATTTAAAAGTTTTTAACAAAAAAAATCATATAAATCTAGAGGTGTGCCCCTAAGTGAGATGCAAGTTTTAATATAAATGTAAGAAAGTAATAATTCTTACGAATTATCTAATGTGAATGGTTCTGAAAAAATATTCTTTTGCAAAGTTTTGTAATGTAAATAATACATGTATTTTTTATCAACTTATTTTTATTGATTACTCATAGTGCCTCTGGCATAATCCTTGACAAGGCAATGAATAGCATACACAATTAAACAAATCTCTCGAAACATATAGTGTATTAATGTGTTTGTTGTTTTTTTCTAAATTTTTTATTGTTTGAAGCTCATTACATTTGACATAAGCAATCACAATGAAAACATCATTATTTTCACATATAATAATATTGTATGATGTTATGTTTTGATAACAAACAGATTAAAAACAATGTTAAAAACTTTCTTTTTAAAATGTTCACATTTAACATAATTATATTTGTATACCATCTTGCTTGTACATTTTCAGTAAGCTGCATATACCTGAAGAATACATAAATGTATATTCTATTCATAGCACCACATCCATTGCCTATTCATCTAAAAATAATAATACAATATATTGCACACAGTGTTCAGTTAAAATACCATGAGGTAAACTTATACTCACAAAAATATGGCATCCACTTTACCAACTTAATCTACACAAATGAAAATAAGGATGATAATTTACAATGGTAACAAAAATGAGGGAACTTATGTACAATGAACATGTTCAAACTTAAAATAAACATTGTCTATCCAAACAGAATAATGTATACTAGTAAATACAGAAAATGTATTGGAATGATAATGTATTAAGGAATTGAATTGATATCATTTTACTTCCAACTTCAGAGGTTTAAACTTTAATATAATTTGAGTACAGACTGAAAAATTTGTTCCATTAATGGAATTATTGCTCCCAAGTTTATAAAATCTTTCAAAGCTTTAATATAAATATATATTCATCAATTTCCCATAATAAGCAAAAGGTGCCGTTTTTTCCCCCAAATAGAACTGGAAATTTCACATCCCATGTACCCTGTCCTCTTCTGTAAACATGTTTATATGAATTACCTATAAACAAAAATGCACTTTTGGAATTTATATTATTTTTAACTAAAACTAACACTTAATGTTCATATGCACTGATAATTCATTCATGTTAAAAATACACAAACCAAATGCTGTGTAAAACACACTTCATGAATGTATATTCGTCACTGACTATTTCACATGTGTAAATTTGTCACTGCACATTTTACACATGTAAATTTATCAACAGGAAACAAGAAATCACGATTCATCAGAAATCATGATTCCGGTGCATCAATACTGTCAAAGTAGACTTCCCGTTTTCTTTTATGACAGTGTCTATGTCCTGGGCTTTGTGTTCCAGTTTTAAGGGAAATACTTGCACAACTCGCCCCTTTACACTGAATTGTGGGTAAAAAGATTCTCTGAACTGTCTCTATCTGTTTCCGGCATAGCGGACAGTCTGTTATTTTTTTCGCACAATCAATACATGTGAGATGACCACATGGGCACAGGGCCGCTGAGATCTCGGCATCTCTACACACGCAGCATGTTAGCGAATCCTCAATCTTTTCTAACGTTTCTTCCAATACCTGAAAATACATCAATATCAAAATGGTTAAAATTATATATATACATTTATATATTACTTTAACTGAAATACCTTTACAGAAATAAGAATAAAATATCAGAGTGTAGCATATTTTAGGTGTTGCACAATATAAATGCATGGAAAGAGCAAGTTATAAAATGAGCCGCATCACAACAAAACCAACATAGTGCGTTTGCGACCAGCATGGATCCAGACCAGCCTGCGCATCCGCGCAGTCTGATCAGGATCCATGCTGTTTGCTATCAGTTTCTCTACTTGTAATAGGGTTGGTAAGCAAACAGCATGGATCCTGATCAGACTGCGCGGATGCACAGGCTGGTCTGGATCCATGCTGGTCGCAAACCCATTATGTTGGTTTTGTCATGGCACGGCTCAAATTGTCTCCACTGTTCAGCTAAGCCTAAGCAATCATGGATTAATGTTGCCCAAGGCTCTTTCAGCAATTAATTTTGTATTCTTTTTCAAACTCAAACATTAACATTTGTGCATTTTTTACTGGCTATACTATATAATACCATGTGCAATGTGAAAACATTTGAATGATAATGATTAAGACTTATTCTAATATTCTTTAAGTTCTGATAATGTGTTGTTTAGGTGAGTAAAGCACTTAGCATATCTTTAACATTTATCAAAACCTTCCGACAACCAAACAAAATGCACTGAATATATACAGTATCTTCAGTAGGCTTAAAGAAATTAATAAATCAATGTTTGAATAAATTAAGCTCTGTCAAAATATATTTGAAGTGGCTTACTGCCATGATCCAGAGGGTCACAACTCCAGCAAACACAGTAAAAAAGTTAATTATATAAATCATACATGGCAAGGGATAACCACAGCCTATAACCATTAACATTGGTTACATGTTATGTTACAATGTTAATCAACCATGGGTATCCAACAATGGGCAAAGGTTAACAATACAGAAGTGCAACCTAATCCAAATATTGTTTCATTTATTTTCTTTTTAATTATAAAAGATTTATTGTTATAATATAATCAAGTGCCTCCTCTTGTTTCAGATACACTGTAGCATCACAAAGAGCACTTGCAACACTATGTCATCACCTTCCATTGACCCTTAAACTCAATCTTGAACTTTGTACAGACGCAAAATTATCAAACAAATCCTTCACTGTACAAAAAACAAGAGCTGTCGGTAGGACAGCATGCTCGACTATTCTAAGTGCTTGATAGTAAAAGAGCCTTGATAATGTTCAATTTTTTAAGTTCACAAAAGGGCTAATTTTTTTTATTAATTCATGTTTTAGGCCTTAGGAAGAGTCTAATTATACAGTATTGGCTTGACTATTCGGAAGGTAATGTCACAAGGGTGTTTTATTGAGTATAATAATACTAATTACCTATGAATACATAAATTTGACAGAAATGGTACAAAGGCTTGTTATTAAGATGTTTTATGAAGTAAATCACTGCTTTATTATTATGAATGCATAAAATTGTCCCAAAAAAGGCACAAACCCTTCAGTAGTTATTGAGAAAACAGCTTACAAGCAAAACTTTACCATGAATTTCTAAGTTGAAAAAGGGGAGAAAAATCAGCCTAAATGCAAGATAGAATTATGGATCTTTGTCAGTGACCTACAATTATGACCCTAAATGCATAATTATGTGAAGTTTTAAATAAATATCTTTAAAAGTTATTGAGATATGTAAAACTTGCATGTAAACATTAACCAAGAGACTAAGTAGAAAAGGGGATATGAATCAGCCTTAATGCAAGATAGAGTTATGGAACTTGGTCAGTGACATACAATTATGACCCTCCAATTATGACCCTAATTGCATGTGTAAAGTTTCAAGTAAATATCTTTGAAGACCTTTAACCTTTAACCAAAATTTCTAAGTTTCAAAGGGGCAAATAATTCTGCAAATATTGCTGGCAGAGTTATGCAATTTTGCAAACTGATGTACATTGTTACTATGAAAAAGTGTTTTAAATTTCAATTGAATATCTCAAGCAATAATTGAGATATTTGACTTTACAAAAAAACTTTAACCAAAATTCTAAGTTCCAAAGGGGCATAATTCTGTCAATATTGTAGGCAGAGTTATCCAACTTGTCAATCTGATGTACCTTGTTACTATAAATAAGTATTGTAAGTTTCAATTGAATATCTCAAGCAATAATTGAGATATTTGACTTTACAAAAAACTTTAACCAAAATTTCTAAGTTAAAAAGGGCCATAATTCTGTCAATATTGTAGGCAGAGTTATCCAACTTGTCAATCTGATGTACCTTGTTACTATAAATAAGTATTGTAAGTTTCAATTGAATATCTCAAGCAATAATTGAGATATTTGACTTTACAAAAAACTTTAACCAAAATTTCTAAGTTAAAAAGGGGCATAATTCTGTCAATATTGTAGGCAGAGTTATCCAACTTGTCAATCTGATGTATATTGTTACTATAAATAAGTATTGTAAGTTTCAATTGAATATCTCAAGTAATAATTGAGATATTTGACTTTACAAAAAACTTTAACCAACGCAGACGCCGACGCGGACGCTGACGCCGACGCCGGGGCGACTACAATAGCTCTCATATTCTTCGAATAGTCGAGCTAAAAACAACTAATGTCCCTACTCAGCAAATTTGTTTTTATTTTTATCATGAATAGTAAATTGTTGAAAGATTATATAAAGTACTAAGTCTGCTCTAGTCAAAGTAAACAAATATCTTACAGTATTTTTTTCCAGCAAGCTTAATATGCCCTAAAAAGAGTTCAAACTAAGAGATTTAAATGTACTGAGAGTTTGTGTCCTTTGCTTTGTTCTAATATAAAAAGAAAACTTCAAGAGTAAAACAAAGAAAAATGGATATCTAATTCAAAGATCAAGTTATGGTGGTTTGTCATGACCACAGTTGTTTTTAACTCAATACACATTTTCCCTTTAAATCTAAGTGTTAACAACACTTAGCTTAAGTACTATTTACGACAAATAACTTGTGACCAATTTTGTAAATTCTTTATGAGCTTTCAAGTGACTCAGACAAAATAATGTTGTACTGGTACATTTAGTTTATGATGATTTAAAATACTAAAAACTTAAGTCAGTTCTATTTTTACATTGTATAAAACAAATTCCATCCTTCATTTGTTGTAAATATATTATTTTTTTTAGCTAAAACAAATAACTGCCTATTGTTTCTTGTTGTATGCATACTTTAACTATTATTTAAGCCAAGTCATCAAATGGTAATCCAGGTGTTTTTATCATTTACGCATCCTGTTTTTGCGCAATATTTGTTTGGTCATCAGTTGTTTATTATATTATTACATCAGCATTATTTAAGGAAACACATACAGCTCAACATCACCTAGACAGCTGACAAGTATGTGTAATGTTGGAAAACCAAAATTATATACATCTTTCATTAAACTTTTGACCGATTTTAAAATATTCAATTTTGATAACGAGGCAAAATCTCACTAATCCTGTTGTCATTTAACATATTTTGAAAAAGTATAGAAACAACATTAAGATTGCTAAATATGTCTGATAGATATCTGATTATTTTGCGTTACACTTTTTGACCATCATACACTTAAACAAGAAAAGTGTCAGGTTTTCAAGTATTAAAACTTGTTCGGTCCAAGTTCAGAGTACTCATCTTCTATACACTTGACAATAATTTGGTCAATTACTTGAACTTATTACAGTCACACCCAACCACTAAAGTGCATTTAAAATGGTTTTTATTTTCATTGTAATTCTAAAACTTTTACAACAGAAACGGATTTACATAAAATAACTTTACAAACACCCTATACTTTGCTGTTAAATCAAGAGCAGTGGCTTAACAGTATCTAGGCAGATTTCATATTGGAAAATCAATCTTGCTTTTATCGCAGCTGACCTAGTTCTCTCGTCTTTGTTTACTAAAACCAGCTGTAAAATCTAGGTCAACAGCTATCATAAGGAGAGTTTTTAAGATGATTCAAGCTTGGTTTCAAGGGTTATTTAAGATAAAGTTATCTGAAACTTTTGACATATTAAACAGGAGCATGTGTCATAAAATCTGCACCATCATCATTATACTTTCATGGTGGAGCAACTTTTGTGCCTGCAGAACCAGGGTTTCAATTCCCGTTTTATGTTTGTTTTACAATCATAAAGCAAAGTATGTTTACTATTATTTATTTTTTAGCCAGACTTAATGCACCTATGGTCAAATCTCAGCAGAAGGTCCACCTAACATGATTTCCTGCATAACTAACCAGATATTATCAACATTTCCACAATTTTACTTGACCAACTATATCAAGGGTAAAGGTGTTAAAGTGACACAAAGGTTTTCTTTACAGACTTCATTCTCTAAAAAGCCGTGTATGATGTCATCATTAGTTATTGTGCTTTTTGAGGGGTTGCTTTTTGTTTTTTGGAGGTATAAGGGTGCATTGGGGTGGGTGGAGAGGAGAGGGCTTGTGAATGAAGCCACAAAATAGAATCTGATTATAAGGCAACTGTAAAAGCTTTCCTTATATGACGGAATTGTGCATCAACCTGCAGGACTCAATACCCATTTTAATTATTTCAGATGCAAGCTGGAACCTGACTGAAACCACCAACCCATTGAAAGCTAGCCAGAGAAACCTTCTGCACAGCAGCTTAATATAAGTTTCATAAGATGACTGAGAATTTCTATCCCTTACAAATAATTCCATACATTTAGTATCAACTTTTTTTAATTTCAAAATGATAATTACAGCAGCAATTTTCTTCTTAAATTTCAAAAACAATCTAATTATATCTGGAGATGACAATATTATACTCCTATACGCCCTAACTTAAAGTAATTGTAACCTGAATTCCGAATACATTAACATTATTTTGCAAAAAAAAAATTATCAGATAAAAGAAATCGGTTGCTATACAATCACATTTCAGGGTATTCAGTATCAAAACATCACATGGTAAAATCTGCATAATTAAAAATAGCTTAAGCAGACGTCTTCTTTGTTACTGAACACAAAAGAAAAAGATATTGCACAAAACAAACATATTGAGCATAGCCAATGTTTTTAAAAAGAAAAAAAACGCAATATACAGACATCATATTTAAAAATTTATTACCTTGAAACAAAAGGCTAGCTTTAATTTAGACTGTTAAAATTGGCTAATGTTATACAAAATAAGCAAAAAAATAATAATTAACGCCTTGAACTTGGAGTACTTTACAAAGACAAAAGATTCATAATGTGGGTAGCCTTTAAAATTAGGTTAGCCAAATATATCAGTTATGACAGATGATCTCATTCTTGCTGTTTGTCATAAAAAAAGAGTTTCGATTTGTTGGTCATATCTTGTTTCGATCTGTTGGTCATATTTTGATCAACAGCCAGATACAGATATTTAAATATAAATAGGTATAATGTAAAGGTAGACCGAGTATAATGAAGCTTTGTGGTTAAGTTAAACACCTACATTAACTTACTTTTTTTCATATTCTGGTGAAATCATATGACAATTACATTGTGTTTTATGAATCAGTTTAACAGTGGGTGTATCTATTATTTTTTACCCTGAAGACAAAGAAATTACAAACGGCTTTCATGTCCTTATGATTTGTTAAATGATGATTTTATAAACTAATACTGCCTCAATAATTGACATTGAAATTTAGTAATTTCCATTTTAATTATAAATATAATCATGTAATAATTTCACTTTTTTAAATAGTAAAGCAAGGCAGATAACCTAATGAATTATCTTTCTTTAATACTCAATTATTAATTTTATTTAATTGAGCCCAGGTTAAATGAAACTGACATAATATTGTGATTAAGTACATGGTTAACTTCACGGTGAGAACAACTTGCGGAAGCTCCTAAACCCAGCAGGTCCCCCTGAAGTGCATATATGTGCCCACTAGGCTCTGTACTATATGGCTGCCCAAAATAATTATTTATAATCAATTATACCAAATCTCTCAAACTCATATGATAATGGACAGTTTCAAATAGTTTTGTACTCCAATTTAGCAGATTTTTCTTTGATGTATTCTACTGCACAATAGAGGCACGTCATTTATGGAACAGGAACTTTAAATTTTCCAATGATTCATTTTATAGGATATAAAGGTTACTTGTTTATCAACAACGTAAAAGATATCCTGACCTTCCTACTGAAGTTAATTTTATCTCTGATGTAATAAATTCATTAGTTAACCGCCATTGTAAATTACATCTGTAAATAAAAACATTACATCAGATTTAAAAGTGTTTGTTATTCTAATGTCTTTATTTTACTACCATTTAAAATATTACCCATAAAAAACCCAAACAAAACACTTCACCAAATTAGATAATTAAGTAATAGGTAAACATTTCATAGAACAAGATTTTTGACTCTTCACTTTAGGTTAATAAATTAAAATAGAAATTGCGTAGCTCAAATAAACTTTCAAATGAAAATTGCGCAATAAAACTTGACTTTTGCGTAACCTACTGCTTTCTTTAATAAAAAGAAAACATTACATCATTTTACATGTACAACAGTGTATTTCCCTGTTCAGTTTAAATATATGGATTAGTCATACATTTATCAGTTTAGAGGTGGCGGTGAGAAAACGAGACATTTTACAGTAGATAAATCTATTAACACTACACATTTGGGTATATTTGATGTCCAAGACTTTTTTCACCAAATACGAAGTCAAATATTAATGTCACACTTGGTCAATTTTAGTGTTAAGTACAAAGTTAACAAGTTGTATCCTGTATGAACTAAATGATCCATATTTTCTTACCTTACTTCTTAAAATTGTGATTATGATGTACTTTAATGATTTCAGAAATTAAATCAGTCAGATCGATAAAATAAAACCAAATATTGACTAGGAACAAAAGGAACAGTACCTATTGGCAAATTTACAAATGTTCAGTGTTTATCATTAAAGAAAATATATAGATATATATTCATTTAAAGAAAATATATAGATATATATTCATTTAAAGAAAATATATAGATATATATTATATTGTACTTAAGCTGTAAAGTTTAGACAGATTGTTGTAACTTTCTGGCCATTTCATTAGGGATTTTTGTTCTATTCATTGTGTTTTCAATCTACATAGACTATCCTTGTTAAAAAAAGCCACTGAATTTCACAGTATAACCATCAGGATGTAATTAAAACAGCAAGTAAAGGTCACATGAGACAAAATCAATGATGAAATCAGATTTTTTTCCTCTACCTTTGTCACAAATTAGAATGGTTAAGCTTGAAGTGTAATTAATTGGAATTAAATACCATCCACAGTTATACACACCCTTCTTTTATACAACAAACATTTTCAGCGTTTTTTTGCATTATTCAACAAACATAGAGCATAAAACTTGCAAATTTGTTTTGGAATCAGAAAAGAAAGACTGACACAACAAAACTTTTACAAGATAGGAAAATGCAATGCATTTTGATTACAATTAGTATAAGTTACACACTAATCTTTGTTGTATTTCATAAAGTAATAGCATTGTATCAATGATTTAACTGTTAAAACATAATATTTGGCTATAAAACATGTACTTTGCAATCATTATAAAGAATACATGTATTATGATTCCAGATTTAATCATTAGTTTACAGTAACTTTAGACTTGATTAAAAGGATACAATTTGTGATATCAACTTAACTGCACATTCTTATTAAGCAGAACACTTCAAACATAATTAACATACGAGTTATTTATTATACTAGATCTAAGGTATCTTAAGAAGAGAAACCCTTCAGCTCAACTAGTGCAATAACTGTAATATCTGTCCTTTTTTTATATTAATTTTCATTTTTCATGCAACTTAATGTACTAAAAACAGCTGCTGGAACGGTGTCCTTCACAATTGCGAAAACAATTCAGTTAATAGCTGTTCAATCAGAGATAGCTCTGTTTTCAAGGAAAAGTCAATAAACCAATATTTCTATCAATGGTATTTTATTTACTTCCGAGATACTTCACAATACTTTGCGGTAGAATATCTTTATAACATGTTTAGTTTAATGAAAAATTTGGTTTGAAAATAAAATAAACAAAAACTTTAGTGGAAAAAAAAAATTACAAAGTACATGTAGACAGTTGTGACACATGTGGACCTTTATTTTTGAGAAAATCAGAGATCAGAAGACAAAAAAAACTTGAAAATAATATGAGAGAAAATACAGTTCAGGGCAACTTTGGGTAACATAATCTAATGTACTTCTAAATTAAATTTCTCTTGTAAATTAAATAATCCCAACAATTGCCATGTAATAAAAAATCCACACTATGCCAACATTTATGATTCTGAAAAGTACAGTTTTTAATATATTTATGATAAAGCGTTACTCTAGAAAAGAGGGCAAAATTACCTGGCACTTTTCTTCAACACTAAGAGTTGGGCTATCACAGTCATGGCTTTCTTTCTCTGAGATCAAACTTTTCTCCGTTGTTCCTACCAAAGGCACGGGCTGGTACAACAATCTTCGGGCATGGTCGTGCGCCTCACGTGATGTTCGCTTCACATCAAACACATAATCACGACCTGTCACAGAAAAAAAAATACTAATCAATATCCATAATAATAAACTAATCTAGAAACTTTTCTGACCACACCAACATTACCATTATTGACATGTCATGCTTCTACAATCTGTAATGTTTCTATTTTAGGTAATAATGCATGTCAAGATCAGTGCAGGGAATTAACTTTGCAAATATCATTTCCAGAACATTTGTGGAGAGGGGAATTATAGTTCTGACCATACATCAAATTGTTTTTTTTCTTTATAAATTTTAATTATGAAGTTCTTTTAGTTTTTTTGTTTTTGTTTTTTTTGCAAATGCATGCTTGAACCATTTTAACAAATCCCTACATTTTAAATTCAATATCTATTCACAGAAAGAAAAGAAATTTGTTGCACAAATTCCAAACATTTTCCAAGATGTTTTTTTTACAGTAGTCAGACCTCACAGGAAATAAACATAAACAAAACAGGAAAACAGTTTCATCTTTCATTATCAATAATAAAATGACAAAATGCATGTAGACATGTTAACCAAAACAAGTACAGACTCATGTATATTTATCATAATAAGGTATTTAACTTCTAAAAATAACTTTATTGTACAATCATGTACATTGTGTATTTACATTTATACTTTTTTCCACACAAGTAAAGTAAATCAAATGATATTTATATAATTATGGTTCAAGTATCATTAAAAAGACAACCTCCTGTACTAAATACAGATGCTTAAGTTAAGCGGTCAATGCATTATTAAGTGTCTTAGTGGTCATTGTCTATTTTGCTCAAATAATACAATAGCAACCTTTGCTAGCTGGTCAGTAACCTTGAACTCCTGCCAAACACAACAATAATTTCTCTCAATCGATCTGTACATTGTACATGTTTAAGTACACATAAAATCTGTACTAGAATAGCCCAAAGCTATTTGATATACAAAAAGGACTGTATTATATATAACTGAGGTTAATTAAAACTGCTAAAGTTAAATGTCCTTCCTGAGGCTTTATTTATACTTAACCACATGTAAACATTTCCATTTTGAATTAAATGTGAAACGGATTATATATAACAGTTAAAGCTACTGTTAACTTTGCTCAAAATTTTAGTCAATAAATTGAAAAGGACAGTGAAGGACAATTTTTTGAGAGAAAAAAAAGAAATACTAATAAAGCTATTGCTCACAGTCAATTTATCTTCTGTAACTTATTATTTATTGAAGTTATATTAATTATTTGTGTGGTAATATTTCCATTAAAACCACTTTTCTAAGGCAAAAGATGTATTAATTAATATTTAAGACAATAAATTAATTATAAAATATAGTATGTACGACTAAATAAATAAATTAGAACTTAAACATTAATTTTATGCACTTGCAAACATTCCAAGTTTAACATCTAAAAAGACTGGATCTAGGCGCCAATATGATGAACATTGAAAAATGATTGCACAGAACATAAAGTTTTACACGACAATGACTCATCGTAAAATCAAATCACTTGAATAAAATTAATTGAAATATTCTTACATTCCTATGACAAAAATCTAAACATAATTTATTAGAAAGATAATATAAAGAGCAACAAAAGGCGGAACTAGTATTGGCATTCTGACGTTACTTGACGTAAATATCTGGCTACATTATAATCTGATTGTGACATTAATTTATCTGATATTGATGGGTTTAATCAGATAAATGATGTTATGTCAATAAACTTTCAAGTAGAAATCAAATGAGTATCAAGAACATATATTCAACAATTATAATCCACGTGTAATTAACGACCACATCAATTATACACTTTACAAACAGACTTTTCTCCTGAAACCGGAAAATTACATATACATGGATGACGTCATTATGATACAATCATGCAAATTTAATTCGTTTGAACAACTTTATTTATAATCTTTCATCGAAATAAAATTTCCTTGTAATAAGGAAACTTCTCGTAATGAAATATGCTATGAACCATCTCATTACTTACGACTTGAATAATAGATTTTATTTTCTTATTATACAAATTCTGCTCCTCTATCAAAATCACACGACTACCTCATTATGCTATATCAAAATCGTTGATAAACAAGTACCCTTTCTTCCATTGTAATTTTATTTGAAGCCAAATAAAAACATGTTGAATTATGTTCTGTTATTTGTGCTAATAACATTATACATATATCTGATTTTTAATAATAAAAAATGGAATTTATTCTGAATTAATAATTTGTAACTTCTACAATGAGTGACACACTGTTTATGTTTACTGAATATTTCTTAGAATATGTGATATTAAGTAAATACTATACATGTAATATCATTTACAAACTTACCAAGAGTAGTCTTTTCATTGAAAAGGGACGCCAGCGTTCCTTTCAAATCCCGACTGAACTGCGTAGACACTTCATTATGCACCGTATCACAGCAAAAGAAGGAATGCATTTCTGTTATACATCTATACAAAGCATTTGCAGCCGATTGTGTATTAAGTCGTAACATTATGTCTCTTTCACTTCCATTGTCATTCAAAATTTTAAGAACACAATTTTTCCCAACATGCTCTGCTTTTGTGATTGTCACATATTCCAGCCTGAATAAAATAATATTAGTTTGGTCATTGTGTAGTGCAATAATCTAGAAACTTTAAACTACTTTAGACTAAAAGTTTCAACAAGACGATGTCAGGGCTAAATGAAGATAACAAATGTAATGATATTGAATGTATATAATTTATCATATATGTATGTCGATTATATATTTAAATATTCACTAAGATTGATATAAAACCTTACTTTTCTACAAGTTCTGTGTTGGCGTCACATAGAAAAACTCCTGTAGGACCAATTCCTACATGTGTATGCTCCCCACGGTACGAAGCATCGTGATATTCAACCCCGTAGCTTGGAAGAGTGCTCGCCTCTTGGAGCAGTTGATATTGAGCAGACTCCTTGCTCAATCCTACAAGCTGAGAGTGGGCATCAACAATTTTGTGAATCAACTCTGGGGTTGGTTCAAAATCGTCTGACAGCATTGTCTTATATATATTCATTTGGTGTGTTCGACGATCGAAATTTCCATGCTCGGCCTGAGCAATCAGACCAAGCATCCGGATCATCTGCTCCTCAGTTTCAGCAACAAGCTTCTGGCTGTTTATATCTCCTCTGATTTGATCATAAAACTGTTGCCTGCCATAAAATAAAATTAGGATTGTCAAACATACAAACAATTTTAGAAGACTTAATTGTTAGCAAATTTCAATATGAACAAAATTATATATTACTCTTGTGGGCGATTTGGTACTTTCAGGTACTCATGACTTTTTACATCATAACATGGGAGGGTACTTTTCAGTACATACTAAAAGGCTACTGGTGACTTAAAAGTATTATGCAACAAAACAATGGTCCCTAATAGCCTAATATCTAGGGCAGATTTTCACAGCAAATTTAATAGCAATGACATATATTGCACCCTTATAATAAGTTATATTAATGGAATAACATTCACCTTTCTCAATATAAAAATTGTCAATAAAAACTAAATTAGTTTGAATTTTTTGAAGAACAAAATCTGAGAAAAAGGATTTGATAATTGGAAAGAAATCCTCTATATACAGAAATCACACAGTTCTTTTTATTGCAAGGTTACAATAAAACAGTTATCAGAAATGCCTCTAATTGCGAACCCAAAATGGTGATTTTACTTTTCTGGTTTTTGTTATGACTTTTTTTCTAATTAATCTGAATATGACTAAATATTTTCCTTGGCGTGACCTGTACCAGTTGACAAAAGGGTGAAATAAAATGCAATATATTTAAGATGTTAACAACTGTGTATTATTGTTATTTACCTTGTTGACTGCTGTAGAATATTGTGAGGAGGGATAAAGAATTTCACTCTCAGCTGTAATCTATAAGGAGGTGGTCCAACCAGCTGCCTGTCAAGACGATTCCTTAAATTTAACCAAAGGTTTTCTCCTGCTCTGCCTTTGTAGAGAAGACCATAGTAATCTTGCTCTACGATTCCCAATCTTCTGCACACCTGTAAGGACAGACATTGATTAAAATAACAGTTACACTGTAGTCATATATTATTATTTATTAATGTATTTGCCTGCCAATTTGCAGCAAAGTGCATCCATTCATGGTTTTTAACCTAGCATCATTTAAAGATCCTATAACACAATTTTTTTATGGTTTTATATCATAAATATGAAACTCAATATAAGATTTATCAATATTGTAACTTCCAAACAAACATTATTTAATTTATAAAGATATTACCTAATTTAACATAAAACTTAAGGGAGGTAATTAGAAATTTATTTTCTATAAAGTCTCAGTCAAATTTTTTACAAATACCGAAATGATTAATGCTAACATTTAATGATTACATATTACTGAACAAGTGTCCGATGATAACGAAGACAGTAAGGAGATAAAGGAATATCCAGAAACAGATGCAGTTGCTAGACTTTTTATTTGAAATAGATTCCCTGACTTTCCTTTCTTTACATTAATGATAAGCATGCAATGGATCAAACCTGCGATTTCTTTTACCAGTCTAAACCTGTCTAAGTTAGGTGGGAAACACTGAAAATGTCTCTGAAAAAATCCCAAGGGTGTTACCCAGGATCAAACCCGGGACCTCGGGAGTGATAGTCAGTGGTCTAACCAACTGAGCTATCACGTCACATATCTATTATACAGTTCCCATAAATTTTAATAAAACACCTAGAATCTATAATTTTTAATAGGATTAAAATAGCTTGGATCTGTACTGGTCTTGTCATTTTCTCATTTACTAAAATTCATTTTATAACATGCCCTTATAATTCCCGAATTTCAGACAAACTCAATGAAGAAAAAAATCACTTGTAGCCATCTGTGTTGTGTATTTCACCATGTTAACACACTGAGGTTACTAACTATAACGTTCACCCCTTGTCCAAGGTCGACCACTTAGTGAAATTTCTTTGTTTCACGATTTCAACAAAATCGTTAAAATCTACTCAAACACGCGTCTTTATACTTAAGATAATAAGCTAATCTAGATCGTGTATTCATTCCACAGAGAAAATATTAATGTTTTAAACATGAAATCAGCTGGATAAGAAAATCATCGTCATTGATCATAATCAATTTCTTACCTGTTCCATGCATTCTTGTCCTTTTCCTTTTAGATTCGCTTCAATATTCAAAACCACTGAATTCGGCTGAGACACAAAACATTCCATTCTTACATAATATTATTTTGATGCAAAAAAATAACGGAAATACGTAAATTTGATGTTTTCTCTTTGAAAGCGCATTGTTCTATGATAAAATCGGTCAGGAATCTATCACATGACTTATTAATATTTCAACCAATCAAAAGACGAAAATTAACATAAAAGGCGGGATAACCCATGCAGAACTCAATCGATAGTGAGGTACATTCTATTTTAAGAACTGGGAAATTGATAATAGTTCAACAGAATTACAGTCAACCCGGCCCCAAGTTAACCCGGACCCAAGTCAACCCGGCCTCAAAATTGGTCAACCCGGCCCCAAAATTGGTCAACAAAATATATATTTTCAAAGAAAATTATTTAAGTCATCTTGTTGTATGATGGAATAAAAATGATTTATTATTAATTGTACCAAATTTAACGATTATTTGCATGTTATTTCACTATAATCCAGACAAAAAAAAACACTTACTTTATAAAATATCAGTCATATAATGATATTTGATATCTTCTGTTCTTCACGGATATGATTTATATATAAAAAAAAAAACAAAAACAAATATAACTTATAACTTTTTTATTTATAAACCAAGTTTAACGATATATTGCATATAAAAATCATTTTATTATATCAAGAAAAGTTAATAAAAAATAATCAATTTATAAAAAATAAGTCATTCTCGGTATCTTCAGTCCGCTACGGATATGACTTTTATAGAACGTAATTCGAATAAAATAATAGCTTTTTTATTTATGTACCAAATTTAACGATATTTTGCATGTAAAATCATAGTATTATAATAAAACATCGTATCAAGAAAAAATAATAAAAAATAATTACTTTGTAAAATATAAGTGTTTATATTTTAAAGCAAAATAAATAATAAAAAAATGGGGCCGGGTTGACCAGAAATAACATTGGTTTGGGGCCGGGTTGACCAATTTGGGGACGGGCTGACTTGGGGCCGGGTTGACTTGGGGCCGGGTTGACTTGTACCGGTTCAACAAATATAACGATGTACAGACGGCGCCAAAAATTGTTGTCGTTTTGAGAAAAAAAATCAATCGTGCGATTTACAAAAGATATTAGATATTTACATATAATTGAATCCATGAATAGATTATAAATTAAATGACTCAAAGTAGTACTCTGTCCTTAAAGCTGCATGACTCCAGATTCTGAAGTTGAACATTATAATATGTATTAAAATGTAAAATATATATCTTCAACTGAACAATGAAAGTAAATGTAGTAAACACATGACAAACGACACTTAAAGCTACGGAAATTTTCAAAAACAAGTGGGAATATATAAGCAAAAGTAGCCCTTACTGCATTAGTTACATGGTAGAAATATTGTGATAGATACTGCAAGATCATTAAAATTTTGTGATAAATACTGCAAAATCTCTCATTACTTGCATATTTATAACTGTTCACATGTAAATTATTTCTTAAAATTATAATGATTTTACTTTTCTTAACACCTTAGTACATTTGAAGGTTGATTTTATTGAAATATTTTGGCTCATCTGAAGGCATACAGCTTTAGTATAATATTCCTGATCATAGTCATGTTACCTTCAAGCCAGGAAAGTTTTGCTGGTTTTTGGTGGCAATTAAAAAATTATAAATTTCCCTTTCTGCAGGTTAACCTGGAACCAAAAATATACATATATATATTTTGTCCAAAGGTTGACTTATAACTGTTATGGGTTAACATCAATTGATGCAACCAAGTTGAAAGGTTGGGTCTGTTTGGCTTTCAGATTTTTATTAATTCTTTCTATACATTGTGATACTTTGTGGTATGAATACAGCATCAGCCAATTGTAAGCCCAATTAATCCTCACCAAGGTAACAGGGACACCCAGTAGACACTGGCCACTAGGAGGTCAGTCAGATATAAAAACCCATGCTTAATGTCCACAAACTGAGAGTTATACATATCCCCCGCATCCCCCACCCATACTGCAGTGAAAACCTTGTCCCATTTTCCTGCAGTCCCCTGTAACACTGCCAAAGTGGTGGGAGAGCCGAAGTAACAATCAGTGAGAGTGTGGGGGGCGGGGGCTGTGGCAGGGTTCCACTGAAGTCTAACAAATCAAGCGTAAGTGTGAACAGATTATTTTTCCCATAATTGTCAAACTGTTAAGCCTTGGGAAAAAAAATAATCATAATATGCCAATCCAAAATATATCTTTATGTCTAATCGTCAAGTCAAATTAGTATGGCTAGTTCCACTTGAAAGGGATTCAAAAGTGTGTCTTAAAGCTTGTACCTTCCTAAATAATGAAACTAAAATAAATTTTTGTATAAACTAAACACTCAAAACATACCATTATCATAATTGGCTTCTAACTGGGAAGATGGATATAAGCTCCCCAGCTTCTAACATAATTATGTGCATCAATTTTGGTGCTGGACATAACAATGTATTTATTTTGTACTAACAACAATCATATTACTCGTATATTACCGCGATAAGTCTGGTCTAGTGTGCATGCATGTCATACTTCTATTGTAGTAAAGAAGTTACTTATTCCTCGTAAAATTAAGCTTATAAGAATGCCAAACATAGAAGTTAGCACTTCCTTTTTGTCACCAACAGAAATTAAGTTGGAACTGAATTGTACATAAATCAAAAAAAAATTTGCAGTATAAAGGGGAGTAACTTTAAAAAAAACAGCTTAGGTAGAAGCATAAGGGTTCTAGAGTTACTTCCCTTCATTCAAATAATGAAATACTTTCACAGCTATACAAGTATTCAAATAAACTTTGAAAAAAGATTTTTATAAGATATTTAAGAACCATTAGTCATACATTCACCCAGAGCTTAGTTCAGCATCATTCCTCGAGGCAGGCTGTCAAGCAGTTTACCTGAGTACTAGTTGCCTTTACTTTTGCAAGGAACTAATAACTTCTGTATATGCCAGAGCAGAGGTACAGTGCAAATGATCAGTCACAACATAAGTGATCTGCACAGTCTGGGAGTCAAAACCCGGTTGCCCCATTCACAGTCCAACGCTCTACCTATTGAGCTAACCGGACAGCTCATTATGGAATAGATTTAAATTCAGAACATTTATATCACTGCATTTTTGTCATGTCAATTTTAAATTAGTCCAATAATCATGGTGTTAATATTGTTTGTATATGAATGGTCCTACAAATAATTTAATTTTGAGATAAAAACCTGCAATTGTGTAGTATTATAATTCATTTTAAGATATTGGCAGGTTATAAAATCATCAAAGTATGCCTGTAGTCTATGTTAAATGAGGGTCTGTCCTTCCAAAGATACGAATTTTGAGCCAAAGTAGGTCACTGTATGGTGGCCAATAAAAATGTCAATGTACTGTAACCTTGGACAATATGATAAGGTGAGGTACAAGGTAGCCCGAAAAAGGGCTGTTGGTGCCATGCAAAGTAGTGGCTAACACACCCTGGCACAAATCCTCATCATCCCTGCCACCTTTGTAGGGCCACTACCCTCAGCTGCAGTCAGGACATAGCAACTGGTCTGCAGGTAAAAGTTCTGGACTTTATTATTCCGCCATTTCAAAACTTCTGCAGATGCCCCGTATCTTCTCTAGGATATGAACATACCGAGTGAAGGAGAGAAGGCTTCATAAACATTGCTAAGCAGCTTGTTATGTTACCTTACAACATACCCTTTTTAAAAAAACTTCACAACTACATTTGTATTGCAATGTTGCACATTTTTTCAAGGTGTTTCATTGGATAATTGAGACGTTTATAAAATCTATATACATGCCTACTGCAAATCAATCACTTTATTTTCATTTTCCTCAAAATAAAGGAATTCTGCCATATTGTTAATTTCATTTCAAGATTTCCCTTCAAGTTAAACGGCCATGATTGCATAAAGGGTTGTTTAGTGGCTCGGCAAACATATTTCAACATGCTTTACACTAAAAAGCGCAATAGTGATTTCTACACAGTACTGCACAGATTAATGAATAGTTACACACCCAATGGCATAGCATTGACATCAAAAAACAAAATGACATTATGAAAATATTTTAATGTACATTCAATATATTAGTAATTTTACAATACACATGTAGTTCAATATATTTTCTTGATTTTCTTTTTAAGTAAATTAGGAATTTATATCTTTCTTTTTTTTCATTGTAGTACAATGATAGATGGTTTATTCACTTAACATTTAAATGCAGTGTAATTATTCAGGTCTACTGCACTTAGTTATTACATTACTGCGAATCTCACGTGTGCCTTATTCTCCAACTCACACAAAGTTAGTACCTATTTTACTAAATATAAGCACTTTTTACATTTTTCAAATCACAATTATATCATGTATCCCCTTAAAAGGAAAAAGAATAAAGAAATATTAAGTTAAAGATCTTTTATTACAAATCATGATCAGAATGACTTCAATTCTTTTTTTTATATATAAAATATTTGAACATAATTGTATTTGTCATCCATATCAGCATCTTTCACACAAATTTACCTTCTTGTAATAAATTTAAAATGGCATAAAAAAGCCAACATATAAAGTGTATCACAGACAAAATAAATAATACAATATACATTTCTAACATTTTAAATGAGTTAAAAAAAGTCGTGAAAATAAAATATAGATAAAGTTTATTATTTATTTGATAATTTTAAACAACAAAGAACCATTATTTCAATAAAAGAGTTACTATTTCTCCACTTTTCTGAAGAAAAAAATGGAATTTTTGAATATAAACTTAGTATTGATAATTAAATGTTCATAATTTTTACACTTTGATTCTTTTACAAAAATAAAAATTTGAAGGAATAAAATTTGAAAAGAATGTTCTAAGATGTTCACGATGGTGCGGAAACGAGGCCTGCTGGACCCTGGCCTAGTGTCTGACCACCAACAGTGCTCTCTAGAGGCTTGAACCCAAGTTCTTCTGTAGGTATACCAAACTGGTTCAACTTGGCTTCATATGTTCGCAATAAATCATTGTGAGCCTGAAAATAAATAAAGTATGAACATAGAAAAATGACTTACAGATAAAAAAATTATGTACAAACCAGACTGCAAGGTTTCTTACTTATGGAATAGGCAAGTGGTTTTTCACAGCTAGCACTCTAAGAAATAAACTACATGTATACTGTTTCATTTCAATTGTATGGATAAAATTTCCAAGTTATAATTTAAATGGATGTTTAAAACTTATATTTAAACAAAATATACATTCCGCAAGACATTCAATACCATTTCGATAAAACCAAACAAAAATTTATCCGGGGTATTCTTAAAAGTTTTTTTTCTGATTATTTTGGAATATAAAGGTGCACTAAAATAGATACTCACCTTACAAACTCTAGCTAATTCATACTGCAGATCCTTGATAGCACTGTTCTTAGAATCAAGTACATCCTGTAATGGAAAACAACAAGTCATGTTTCAATACAAAATTATCCATTCAAGAAAGATCATACACAATATTGGGACCTACATGTATAAAACATCAATTTTGATATTCACAGAGAAAAAGCTGTCATATATAAAAGAGGTTCAAGAATCTCACAAAGCTGGCAATCTTCACTTTGATTTTCTATTATTTTTAAAGAATAACAAATTTAACATTCTTCCGCTACATATGTAGAAAATCTAAAAAAAAATACTAACCTCAAGTTTGCGTGTGACAACTGTTAAGGCGGTAGGATCAAGATTGGAAGCAGACAAAACTTCGTTCAACTGTGCCTCCTTCTTCTCGAGAGTGTCGGCGAGAGCTCCGAGTTTCTTCTCCAATAATAAGTTCTTGAAATTGCTCTTTTGTTGAACCTCGTGAATGGCTTTAACAAACTTTCTGTACAATTCATCTCTCTCATCTTGTGTCTATAACACATGCATAAATATGATACATGATTTTGATTAAGTTAACACATGTCAATTATAATAAATTATTTTGGTAAAGTTTAAAAGTATAACAACATAATTTGATAAATGAAGTGATACAAGCCGATTGTTGGCACATTTTGGGAGTATTATCACCGTTCCTCAATATTCACTCCATAGGTCATGTGGTGATATTCCCACTTTACTTTAAAAAAAAGATCGATTTGATATTAAATGTAGAAGCACCACAAACCTTTAATAATAATTATTAAGGAATTTAACAATTTCATAAGTAAACAAAACAAAACAAAACCCATAGCAAACAGCTTTGTAACATTGATCTATTGCATGTATGTTGTTTCCTGCAATAGTTATAATTGAAAATATGCCTAAAATCTAAGTAATTGTCAGAGTAAAGAAGATATGTACCTTTTCAAATCTCTGTTCAAGCACCTCATGTTCCCATTTAAGAGATTTGTTATCTTCCTCAGACAGCCTCAACCTTGCCTTTGTCATCTGCAATACATAAATTCATATAAGAATAAAATAAACTCAATGATAAAAGACTGATAATGAATTGAATTTAAGTTTTTAGGTCATTCCTTTCTAGTACCAGTCATACAGAAACATTTTGGCATTTATTGTAGGACAAACAATTTCTTGTAGACCAGCTGGACGGGCATTAGCAACAAATGATTTTGAATGCCATGTGACATCCACATGTAACATGATAGGGTTTCGCTTAAATCAAATGTGTAACAAAACATTTAAATTTTAATCACTATAACAAAAGCACAAATGAATTCAATTCAATTTAAAAGAGTCTCATCAAATATACTTATAAGAAAAGTTGACTGTATGAAAAGTTATCTAAAAACCAATGCTTTTAAGCTATCAACAACACAAAAGCTTGCTGATTTCTTAATTTATTGCTATGATTTCTTAAAGCATGCTCATCATAAATCACAGATACTGGAATCTTAGAATTTATTATTGTAAATGTAATAAAAAATTCCATTACAAAGTAAAATTTGTTGCATTATGTAACAGTGTTTTTTGTTTGTTTATTTTCTTTAGTTGGTAAACTGACCCATCCTGTAATGATGTTGAGTTCATTTATATTTATATGACCTTGAACCTTAACATCCTATTGGCACAAATTCCCCCCCCCCACAATAAAAAAGGTGTCCACAAATTTTTATATAAATTGACAATAAAAATACTATGTTATAATACAAACCCTGAGTGTCTCTTTGTCTTTCTCATAGTTGGATAATTCTTTCTTTAGTTCTTCCACCTCCTCCTGGGCTTTCTGTAGTGGTTCAGCCAGCATTTTATTTTTGGCCGAGATTTCAGCCATTTGTTTCTCCATACGTTCTTCCTTCTTCTTCATCTCCTCTACTTGTTCCTATAATAGTTCAAATGTTTTTCAATTACAAAGAAAACAGTTAAATATCAATTTGTATATAGCATATGCGTGTTAACAGGACATATAATTCTGAATATTTATTTCCTGGCATGTTTGTTTAAAAAAAAAAAAAGTTATAACTCTTAATAATTAAAATCTCATAATTTTCTTAGTTCAAATGTATTTATTATATTATAATACACAGAGAACTATATAACGATAAAGAACAATTCATATTTTGATAAAACAGTCAAAGTGCCACAAGGATGGATGATAATAATTTATACCCTCCTAAAACTATTTTAATTTTATATAAAATTATTTTTCTGAATGTTTTTGGTTTTTGAATTTTTGTAGTTATCTAACTATTGATGTTATTGTTAATGTACGGCCATCGGAAGACGCACTGCTATTAAAATGGGTTTCAATTTTCCTTGGTTGCAAACTTACCTTTAATGTATTGATAAGAGCAAGGTTATTTAGAGTAATGTCATTATAATAATTCTTAATGTCACTGAAAGCTTTTTCATGATTTTTCATCAATGAATTGATTTGTCCATTTTTCCTCTCCTCAATTTCGTGAATTTCAGTTTTTCTACGGAGATCCAATTCATCGCGGAGAGTTCGCATCTTCTTCTCATATTTGGCTTCAATCTCACGAGCTTGTCTCTCAAAGTCAGACCGAAGTTCTGTGATTGTTTCGTCATGTTTCTGGAGAAAGAAAAAAAGATATGTATCACAAATTGACATCTGTAAGATTTATATTTTTTTTAAATGAACATAATCAGATAAAAGATTTCAACCATAACATCAATCCATTCAAATGTTAGTGAATTATGACCATTTAAATGCATATTTTTACAGTAATTTGTTGCCATTCAGGAATGTAGCAAAAGCATATTGCTGTAATAGTTATTAGGTCAATGTTACATAAATGTGTTGTTTTTCTTATTATAGGAATTCTACTACAAAACTTATTAAATATTTACAGAATCTTCTGTATTGATTTGTTACCATGATAATTTTATATAATAGGACTTTTTTTTGTTTTGAATTTATTTGATACTCTCACTGGGATTATTGATAATTAGCCAACCAGCAGGATAGAGCCTTCAACAAGCATTCAAGGGGAAAATGAAATTATATTGTCAGAATTAAAAGTGCTTTGGACATTACCCTCTTAAGATTTTTGATGATTTCTTCATGTGAGAGTTCTTGTTCCTTGAGGGAGACCTTGAGGGCACGCTTGTCTTTACGTAATTCCATCTCCTCCCCTCGGTGATCATCCTGAGCCAAGTTTATCGCAACAGCTCCTTCCGCCTTCAGTTCTGATATGTTATTCTGGTGCTCATATAACAAGTGCTTCACTTTTTGTTTATAGACCTGTTGAAAAAATGAAATAATATATATGTTAACACTCAGAGTTATGCATGTACTGGATTTATTAAAAACATGCAATGTTTATTTACTAATGTCATAAAAGTTTACTGTCATGAGAAATAAAACAACAATTCATTATTCAACTGTTAATGTAACAAATCTTAAATTAGCATCAAACATTTTTTCCAAATGTTATCTTATTACAATCAGCATGTAAAAGAGTGTTAGCTAATAAACATTATAAACAGAATGGGACCAGATCTTTTTTTAAAGTACCAAATAACATTTAAATCAATTGCTTTTTCACTAAAGATATCACTTTATCAGTGTCTCAAGTTACCAACCTTGATTTCAATTTGATGTCTTTCTTCTGCATCTTCCATTTCTCTATCTTTGTTTCTCAACTCTGCCTTCTTTTCCTCTAGCTGGCGTTTTGTGATCTCCCAGAATGTGTTAACCTTGTCACGTTCAAGCTGGAAGTAGTTTCGCTCTTCTCTCTCACGATCTAGCTCTTCACGGAGACGTACAATATGTTCCTCCAACTGTGAAGAGTCAAATATAAATGTAAGTAAGTAAATAGGAACAAAATCTTAAGAAATCACTGGCACAATAAGATAAAATGAATATAATTTTCATAGTGTTATCACTACTCTATGACTTCTAAGTGTCATAAATATAAAACAACTACAGTCGACTCTCGTTATCTCGAAGTCATTGGGACCGTCCAAAAAATATCGAGATAACGAAATGTCGAGATAAACATATAAGGGTTAGAATAAAGCGAAACTAATTTTTAAAAAAGACATGTGCATACATTATGTCAAATAAACTATAATATCCCTATGTCTTGTTTTCATAGCACTACTCAATATTTGACAAAGTAACATTAGCGGATGTTTACCAGCGGAAAAACGGGTGTCTGTGATAAAAACACATAGTGAGGTTTACTCAGTAATACACCAATATAGTTAATCGGATATGGTTGATTCTGATATCCTCCCGGGTTATTTATCGGGTCTTTCTCGAGATTGTTCGACTGCTGATTGATTTGGTGGTGATGTTGTGAAACAATATTGCAATGATAGCGTTTCTATACTTTTACTTTTTCATTTACATTTAAAGTCATAATGAATTGATACAGTGTTCGAATATTTAAAAAGAATGTAAAATTCACTCATTTTGGACATAAGTCAATCAACACGCTATATAGATTAACTTTTATTAAAACAGCTAAACTTGTTACAAACATAATCGGCTTTATGACACGCGCTGTTAATTGAGCAATTATCGTCTAGATTGTGTTTTTCACACGTCTGACGGGAACAGACGAAAGAAAACTATTAGTCGAGATAAACAAAGGATAATAGTGTGAAAATAACTGTTGGGGCTGAAATGTTACATCGAGATACTGAAAATATCGAAATAGAAATATCGAGATAAACAAATATTTCCAATATAGATAAATAGGGAAGAAAATCGGGACTTTCAAAATTTCATCGAGATAACGAAATATCGAGATAACGATAGTTGACTGTATTAGTAATTTAATTTATTATCAATATATTCTTAATACCATCTTCTCTACTTTAATATATATTGTAGCAAGTAAACAAACTTTCTTAGCATATTTCATTAAAAACTGAGAATAAACTGGAGAATAGTCTTGCATTTTTAGTTTACCTGCTCTTTTGACATTTCTTCTGTAGAGATGCCATCAATGACAGTGGGGGTCTTTGCCTTCCCTGACTTCTTCCCCTTTTTCCCCTTCTTACCACTCTTCTTCTTTTTTGCTGGCTGCAATTATTATAAATGTAAATGATATTTTGAAAAACCAAATACAATTTTTGATAAAGCATAACACTTAAAGCGATAAGGTTTTTGGCATAATATGCCTCTAATTAATTGCAGAGATAATTGAAAAGTGTATCATTAAGTGACCTAGATAAGTTACATGTGGTCAATAGTTAATATCATTTTTATCCATGGTAGTGTACTTGTTCCATATCAATAACTACTGCATATACCAAATTATTTTAAATAAAAAGACTTTAAAAAGTTATGACCAGAGTCTGCAGAGACATGGTTTAAATTTATTGATACAGTATAAATATGCATAAAAGACAAGAAACACAGGTTGAAGTCATATTAACAATAATGACAAACTCTACTTCATTGCTCAAATATCTTTGTACATGTATCTACTCATGCTACTTATAGTAGAGCACTTTCAGTAAGTTTTCATGAACATTAACAAAGTAGAAACTAAGCCATTTTATACTCAACATCATATATTTTGTACGTTATTCTGATGAAGACAACAGTCGAAACTAGTAAAGATTTTTTTTTTTTTTTTTTAAAAATATGTGTTGTTTTGGTGTATTTTAACTGATATACTCAACATCACTTATTCTGTGCCATCAATTATTTCACTGTAATGGCATATTTTTATGTGACCTGTGTTAAAATTGGCCAGAATTGACAAATTTTATTCAAACACCTAAACAACAAAGTTTTTGTGCAAAATATTTTAAATCTATAGATTTTTATGTAAAACAGAACAACATTTTACAAACTTCTGCAAAAATCCAACAATAGTCCGTTAAATTGTACATACATCTGAAACAATCATCATTTTCAAAATGTTTTTGCTGTTGAAAAAATAAATTTGAGTTACAATGTAAAGATACTTTTAATATTTAAAATTATGCAAAATAACATGTAGAAATTTTAACTGAAACATAAAAATACTGAAATAAAACACCATTACCGCGATTTAAATGATGACATACTGTTTTCAAAATGACCGTCTGGCTCATTTAAACTAATTTTGACTGAATATATTGTTGTTTTCTTGTGTCATACAGCAGAAAATACCTATATGTTACAGCTTATGACAATTTTTGTACCATAAGTTTTATGTGTTGTTTTCTTTCTTGCTTCAAAGCGTTAAGTACCGTGCACTAAGAGGAGCACAGGAATCCGGGTCAGCTCGGCCCTAAAACGTACTCGGCCTCCGAGTCAGCTCGGCCATATTCAAGCTTGGCACGGGTCAACTCGGCCCACTTTTCAATTATTAATATTTAAGTTTGTGTTATCACTATTTATTGTAATTATTTATAATACACCTATTGACAGTTTCCGAACTAGCAGCAGACAGGCTTTTCTTATCAGTAGAATTGCGAGTAAAGATAACCGATTGCGTATCTCACTGTATTTCTGACTCATGGTAGGTTTAACCGTAAATTTAAATACCTTCAGTGTCAAACAATGTGTTGAAATATATATTGTTACGGGCTATTATTATCAATCAGTGTGTATGTTAAGGATACCGATTAATTAGGTGATAATTATGATTGACTCATTCAATCATTTGATTAGTGACCACCTGCAATTAATTAGAAGCTTATATGAAGTAAACACGTTTTTGTTTCATATGTTTTGAATATTACTTTACAAACAAAATGCATCTAAGGAAACACATTTTTATTAGATCTATATTATTTTTATCGAATCTGAAAGACAAAAATAAATTAAAAAAAAATCTAAATGTACTTATTTCGGCAGAAGTATAATTATATAATACGCGGAAAGTCCGAGCGGGGGCCTTTAGCGCTCTTAGATAACATGTTAGACGTGTATCAATTCAAATAAAATCAAATTAAAAGTAAAAAAAATATAATTATATCCTATATACCTAATGAGCTGTGAAAAAATCCTTAGTTAACTGGGCGCCGCCATTTTGAAATCCTTATGAGCTAAATATAGATATCACAGCGCTTTTAATGAGCGTTTGCATAATTCAGACTATTGCTAGCAGACGCATGCTTAATAACACTTCCGGTGAAAGACTGATGTACAAAATCAGAATATAAACATTCATTTCATTCAAAAGAACTATAGTAATGATTATAAATGTAAATAGTTACTTTTAAATCCTTTTTGATAAATTAGCACATTAAAAATAACGCAAAAACAACATATGTGATTAGAGATTATCAGAAAATGGCGGACGGGATTTTCCAAACGCCGACGCATGCGCAGTGGTCCCTCTTCCGATGATAGGTTGAACACCACCAATTTATTCGTTTCTGTTTACGGTACAAAATACCTGCATTTACTTATTAACGAATTGCATGATAGATCTGGTTAACAAGTACACTAAACATGTTATGCTTATATCATAAATCATAAGAGCTTACCGCGCCATAGGTAGCACCTAATTTCATATTAAGATATTTCTCATTATTCATTTACCTTAACAACATGCAAAGCAAAGTTAATACGTTATATATATTTTTGTAAAGTGGGCCGAGTTGACCCGTGCCGAGTTGGTATAGGGCCGAGTTGACTCTTTTCAAAAGGATGCAGAATGTAAATAAGTCGAATTCTACACTAGATAATTTGCTATTCCATCGTTTTTAAATGATAAAAAATTTTGTCAACTCCAGCATTCACAATCATTTTCGTGATCATGAATTTACACAATTTTGTCAATTAAAAATAAAAATGTGTGCATTAAGATATAATTCGCAAACAAATGCATATAAATCTTGAAACTCAAAATCATCAGATAGAGAAAACACATCTAATAGTTTTAAATAGTTACCATATTTACAGCCTTTTCAATTTAAAGTAAGACAATTGTTTATCTGTTGTTGCACTTTTACAAAACAAAAATGGAGTCGTCTCGTTGGCTAGCAACAACCGGATATGACGTTTTGATTTGATAATTCTCGTTTTATACCGGACTGTGTATGTTTTTTTGAGGGGGTTTGAGGGGGTGATGAGTTTTTGTTTATAAATAAAAGTGAAATAGATATACATATATTATAGGTGTAAAGGAAGAATGTCGTTATACATAAATAATAATAAATAAACATGTTCAGTCTTTGACAAAGATCTAGTATCAAATTAAACTTGTTTAGGACGCATAGAGATATTTTTGGACGGGATTCAGGCGTTAGCTAGCATTAGTTGAGAACTATTTAATACTGATAATAATAATAATAATAATTATAATAATGTTAATAATAATAATAATAATAAATCGCCTATCGCCTATTTAACGAAAATAGCTTATTAAGTAAGACAATATTTCAGTATTAAATTTATATTCAATATCCTATTATAATTACCCTATCACGAAAGGAAAACACAAACGCACTTTCAAAATAATCCGATCAATTTCTATTTTATTTCGCGGGGAAATTTTGTTCAAGTTGACTTTCTATTTCCGCTTAAAATTTATTTCAAGTACAATCTACAACTGTTTTCTTTTCGTATTTATATTCAGCATAACATTTATTCATCAGATATTTCTCCTCAAATGAAAACAAATATGTGTTTTACGACGCAATGTTTTACGCTGTATTGATTTTTTCCAATTTCTCTGATATTTGTAATACACTGACATGTTAATGTCTGATATGGCTGCCGCATATGTATATTAAAACTCTGAGGCATTTGAGCATAATTATTGTCTTAACTTTTCTTTTTAGTTTTGACTAGTAATCATTGTATGTCAATTTTAGTAGTTTCTATTTAAAAATTTGTCCCTATTAGATGTACCATTTGGTGTGGCGATTTCTTTTACAAAAGTATGTATACATACAAATATACTCTTTTGACATAACCGTAAAGCATAAAATACAATTGCATATCGATATCACCATCGTCTGTGTATTAACCTGCAATCTCTGTGTATAAAGTAGGATTAAACAATTGTCCGTTGTCAAAGGTTAAATGTTTGACCTGACTTCCTTATTTCATTTAAAATCTCCTGCCCCGATAGGGAATTTTCTACGTGTTTCATTTTCATCGGAATTCGTAATTAGTGTCCAGCTTTATTTGTCATCCAATGAAAACTCTGTATTTCTTAAAAATTGTGTGTGTTAATTCCGATACTAAAGCAACTTTCCGTTCATAGTCGCCTTCTACTAATCACAGTACTTCATAGAATCGCGTTTGTAAAAAATAGTCGTGACGTAATGGTCAAATAAAGCTTGACACTAGGTATGTTAGTATTCATCCGTAGCATTTTATCTACAGAAATGAGAAACATTCTCCTGTCGCTATCGCTCCCGTCGAAGTTTCTAATTTCTATAGAACAGCACGTATGAACACTAACATAGAATTTGATAAAAAATATTATCTATTACTAATATGCTATTTATAGCTTATAGTCAATTCGTCGCACTCTTTCAATGATGGATCTTTACTTTAAATGTAGAAGCATGGTCATCATGGGCATCATACTTGCATGCAAGATCAAGATAAAACATCATTTTGTATTTAAATGAAAACTCAGAAACAATATTTAATTAAAACAGTGGTATAAATTTGGACACCTAGATAGAAAAAATTAAAGGATTACTTTAGTGCAATGACTCCAGCATGGAACGGTCAGTTGCTAAAATCTTTAATCTACAAGTAAATTAACGTAAACCCACTTGCCTTTGCTATATTGTTACAAAATTAATGTTATTCTTACAAACAAATCGATGAATGGCATGAGCTATAGGATTTGTTTGTTTCTTTTCTGAGGATTTTAAAAAAAAATATTGGATATCATAATTTGTAAGTAGGTTTGCATCTAAAAGTTCCGATCGGCCATTATAACCATTATTACTTTATGCACGTATTTTAATGAATCATATATATGTATGATTCACTATAAATGTTTGTGAAAAATGGGTTACATTTGAGTACTCTAATTAAAGTTGTCTATACAAATGTGTCGTGATACTTTGAAGCTTAAAAAACAGCAATATACATGTAGGTATTTTTATAAACAAAAAGTACAAGCCATATGTTTAGTCTTAGATGTGATAAATTTACTATAGGATATATAGTACGAACATTCAGTGGGCCGTCTCCTAAAGTGATGTTCGGACTAAGTGACCGAGTACGGGTTACCAGACCCTATACTCTCCAACAAGAACGACAACTCCCTCTAAAAGGACGGAACACTTCGGGGATTTCCCTTTTCTATTTTACCCATTTTTTGTGTAAAATGATTCAGCCTTTAAGGCTATGAATCAGAAAGAAATGATGGAATTCTGTATTTCGAGATATCTTTGAATGAACGACAAAAAATGTAAGTTAATAGGTCAAATTTTGACGAAAATTTATTCGAGTTTATTTTAGGGTTTTCCCCGAAATTATTCAATCTGGTCTTGCCTAGTTCCTGGTTTGTTTACCAGTTCACAATTTGATGCGCACATACTATATAAATGCGTTTTCATTTTCTGAAAATAGCATGTAGAATTTCCCTATTCAAAGTACTTAATACTGGGATACTTTTACCAGTAATGTCAAAAATTACTAGTAGCCCGTAATAATATAGAATTTTGCTTAAATTATTTCTGTTGTTCGCATAAATTTAAAAGCAAGTATGGCATATTTCAATGGATGTTACATGATTTGATAATCCGGTTAACAGAAAACAACAACAAAATGATGAAAACACACATGGATGATTAGCAATTTGACACTAAACTAACCCCTTATGCATGGCACAGTAATTAATATACAAACATGACGCTTAACAATTGGACTTAATTGGCAGTAATTGACATCACAGCGATTTTTTTCCCTGAATTGTGAATGGGTCCGGTACCATAAAAATTGTGAAAAAAAGCGTTGTTTCTTAACAAATTGTGAATTTTTTAATTAAGATTGTTAATATCTTATTAAGCAGTAAGAACATAGATACAGTCTACTCCACTTATAACGAGATCGGTTTTAATGAGATACCGCTTACAACGTATATTCTACTGTGTCCCGGCCTTTTTCCTTCTATTTTCCTTTCATTTTTTATCGTTTATAACGAGATCGGTTTTAGCGAGATATCGGTTACAACGTACATAATTTCGCCGTCCCATGCGTATTTTTCAGAATTTTAACGAGGTCACTTCATTTGCACTTCGTCTGCATCAGTTTGTCACCTTGGCTTGAGAAAAACAATGATGACCAATAATAAAGGTCAACTAAGGAAGAAATTATTGACGCGAGACAAGTTAATGGGTCAAGCAATTAAAGATCAAATGTGTCAGCCTTGTTTTGTCAGCGCTCCTTAACTTAATATAAATAAGGTGACAAAATGTCATCATTGAGTGATTAGCACAAAGGGAGCGGCTAATTTCTTGCGGTGTTATTCGGTGTTCGTGAGAAATGCACTGCGTGACTTTTGAAAACGAATTTTAAAATGTTCATATTAATGAAAAAACACACGCGGTAAGACGTAGGTTGTGTTTTCATGTTTTGTTTAAATTCTATGATAGCTAGATATATTTATATACATGTATATTTAAATAAAACAAAACGTCTGATTGCAAAGAGTTACCTCCCAGTATATACTCTTCAAAAAGGATGCATGCGAAAGCGAAAGTAGAAATAAATGATGCTCGACGGTGTCCGATTTCTCAATTTGATCTGTCCCGGTTATAACGAGACCCGGTTATAACGAGGAATCATCCGAAGTCCCGACGATCTCGTTGTATCCTGAGTGCACTGTATATTTTTTTTTAACGTAATATTTACTGTTACCAGACATTTTGAATGATGTTTACAGAAATTACCAGACGCTTGTTTCAGTATTGATTCGTCCCTAGAAGTTTCGTATTTAAACAGTACGAAAATGTAAAGGGCGAATGCACCGGAAATCATGGTTGGCTAAACGCATTTTAAGATAAACAAAGCACAACAGGCAAAATTTTAGCATCATTATGAGAAGATCTAGGAAATAATACGTTATTAAAGGCTTAATTAGTCAGAATTGTGAAATTTCATCAGAATTGTGAACGGCTCCGTCGGACCCAGTCTGAAAATTGTGAAGGTCCGTTTGTGATTGTGAATGGGTCCGTTATTCGGTACCACTTATATAGGGAAAAAAATCGCTGCATCAACCTGGCTTCAGACAGTTTACCATTTATATACATGTATATTTATACATATTCAAATTATATACATTGCAAAACTTTAAATTATACTGCTGTTCATATACAAGTATTTTAATACAAATACTTTAAAAAAATTTTTAAAGATAGATAGATACACAGTTCTGTCGGAACCAAATCAACCAAATTTATTTTCCAAAACAAGCGACGGTGATGTGTTTTAGGAAAATTCGCATCTGCATGCTACTGTTTAGTATGTAATATTTCTTGTATTTTTTTATTTATAATTATCTATTGTCTGAGGCCTTTAAAAAGAATATACAATTATTTGTTTTAAATTTGATGTTTTGTGTAGTTATAAAATGAGTGTTGGTTTTTTGTTGTTGGTTTTTTTCCCAGTCTTTTGTGAATGAGTCCTGGGCCCTTTAAATTATAAAAAATGGCTATGTTATGGCATTTGATTTCTTGAAAATAAAGTCCTATTCTGTTCTGGTAAAATTAAGCTATTAAGTCATAAATGGTTAAAAATTTAAAATTATGTTTGGATAATGCCCTGATTCATGATATAAAGCTTATTAGATAATTGTTGCATAGTTTAAAGATCCTGTATGTTGAAATTAAAAATGTCTGTCTGTCAGTATTCTTTTTAATAAAAACGTATAAAAAATTTCTTCAAAAATTCTAACTGTAAAATATAATCAACTATTTTGCGCATCATGCGTATATTATTGTGATGTCGTTACTCAAAAAAGATAAACAAGATGCTTAATCTGAATTTTAATAACAAAATTATATCTAGAGTTGAGTAAACTTGACTTATTTGTTTGGCATTGTAAGGCTTTTGTGTAAGCAACAGTTGTAAGTAAGGGTTCCCAATGGCAGGGAGGTGAAAACAACCCAAAGTAGAAGAATTTGTGCTTCCTTGATAAGAATCCAGCAGATTTGTATAATAAGTTTTATAAATGGAAAAAGATATAAAATGGAATTTTGAGAGGGTATCAGAGGTTGTGAGACTACTTTGACTTCGTACAGCATCAGAATATTCGTATGGAACAGGGAGGTAATCCAGTTGATCTTACTTGTCTGAAAACAATAATGCAGCAGTTGTCTACCTGTAAACAGTAAAGGTATATGTTAAAAATATACATTGTTACTGTGTTATGTTTCCATCAGAGTGAAAAATAAAATCAGTAATAAAAACTTCCTTGTTTAAATACTTTAATACTTTAAGACTTCGTTTGAAAATGTAAAGGGCGAATGCACCGGAAATCATGGTTGGCTAAACGCATTTTAAGATAAACAAAGCACAACAGGCAAAATTTTAGAATCATTATGAGAAGATCTAGGAAATAATACGTTATTAAAGGCTTAATTAGTCAGAATTGTGAAATTTCATCAGAATTGTGAACGGCTCCGTCGGACCCAGTCTGAAAATTGTGAAGGTCCGTTTGTGATTGTGAATGGGTCCGTTATTCGGTACCACTTATATAGGGAAAAAAATCGCTGCATCAACCTGGCTTCAGACAGTTTACCATTTATATACATGTATATTTATACATATTCAAATTATATACATTGCAAAACTTTAAATTATACTGCTGTTCATATACAAGTATTTTAATACAAATACTTTAAAAAAATTTTTAAAGATAGATAGATACACAGTTCTGTCGGAACCAAATCAACCAAATTTATTTTCCAAAACAAGCGACGGTGATGTGTTTTAGGAAAATTCGCATCTGCATGCTACTGTTTAGTATGTAATATTTCTTGTATTTTTTTATTTATAATTATCTATTGTCTGAGGCCTTTAAAAAGAATATACAATTATTTGTTTTAAATTATATGTTTTGTGTAGTTATAAAATGAGTGTTGGTTTTTTGTTGTTGGTTTTTTTCCCAGTCTTTTGTGAATGAGTCCTGGGCCCTTTAAATTATAAAAAATGGCTATGTTATTGCATTTGATTTCTTGAAAATAAAGTCCTATTCTGTTCTGGTAAAATTAAGCTATTAAGTCATAAATGGTTAAAAATTTAAAATTATATTTGGATAATGCCCTGATTCATGATATAAAGCTTATTAGATAATTGTTGCATAGTTTAAAGATCCTGTATGTTGAAATTAAAAATGTCTGTCTGTCAGTATTCTTTTTAATAAAAACGTATAAAAAATTTCTTCAAAAATTCTAACTGTAAAATATAATCAACTATTTTGCGCATCATGCGTATATTATTGTGATGTCGTTACTCAAAAAAGATAAACAAGATGCTTAATCTGAATTTTAATAACAAAATTATATCTAGAGTTGAGCAAACATGACTTATTTGTTTGGCATTGCAAGGCTTTTGTGTAAGCAACAGTTGTAAGTAAGGGCTCCAAATGGCAGGGAGGTGAAAACAACCCAAAGTAGAAGAATTTGTGCTTCCTTGATAAGAATCCAGCAGATTTGTATAATAAGTTTTATAAATGGAAAAAGATATAAAATGGAATTTTGAGAGGGTATCAGAGGTTGTGAGACTACTTTTGACTTCGTACAGCATCAGAATATTTGTATGGAACAGGGAGGTAATCCAGTTGATCTTACTTGTCTGAAAACAATAATGCAGCAGTTGTCTACCTGTAAACAGTAAAGGTATATGTTATAGTATACATTGTTACTTTGTTATGTTTCCATCAGAGTGAAATATAAAATCAGTAATAAAAACTTCCTTGTTTAAATACTTTAATACTTTAAGACTTTGTTTGAACATTTCATATATCACATAGATAAATTTTGAAAGAGGAGAGGATTAAAGTGGATATTTGCAAGGGTCCTTGCAAAGTTATGGGACATTTCTTCTGGCAGTTATTTACAGGTATTATTATACCCCCAAAAACGAAGTTTGGGGGGGTATATAGGAGTCACTCGGTGGTCGGTCGGTCGGTTGGTCGGTCGGGCGGTCGGTCGGTCGGTCGGTCCAGACGTCCGTTGCATTTTCCTTGTCCGGAGCATAACTTGAAAACTAATAGTTGGAATTCAATATAACTACATACAATGGTCAAGCACATTGAGAGGAAGTGCAGTGCACAAGAACCATAACTCTATCTTGACTAATTACAGAGTTATTGCCCTTTGTTACTTTTCCTTGTCCGGGGCATAACTTGAAAACTACTGGTTGGAATTCAAAACAACTTCATACAATTGTCAAACACAATAAGGGGAAGTGCAGTGCACAAGAACCATAACTCTATCTAAAGTAATTACAGAGTTATTGCCCTTTGTTGCTTTTCCATTGCTTTTTTTTTGTCCATTGCATTTTCCTTGTCCGGAGCATAACTTGAAGACTAATTGTTGGAATTCAATATAACTACATACAATTGTCAAGCACATTGAGAGGAAGTGCAGTGCGTAAGAAACATAACTCTATCTTGACTAATTACAGAGTTATTGCCCTTTGTTACTTTTCCTTGTCCGGGGCATAACTTGAAAACTACTGTTTGGAATTCAAAACAACTTCATACAATTGTCAAACACAATAAGGGGAAGTGCAGTGCACAAGAACCATAACTCTATCCAAAGTAATTACAGAGTTATTGCCCTTTGTTGCTTTTCCATTGCCTTCTTTTTTTGTCCGGACCATAATTTGAAGACTAATGGTTGGAATTCAATATAACTACATACAATGGTCAAGCACATTGAGAGGAAGTGCAGTGCATAAGAACCATAACTCTATCTAAAGTAATTACAGAGTTATTGCCCTTTATTACTTTTCCATTGCTTTCTTTTGTCCGGACCATAACTTCAAGACTAATGGTTGGAATTCATTATAACTTCATACAATGGTCCAGCACATTGAGAGGAAGTGCAGTGCACAAGAACCATAACTCCATCTTGATTTATTACAGAGTTACTGCCCTTTGTTTCTTTTCCTTGTCCAGAGCATAACTTTAAAACTACTGGTTAGAATTCAAAACAACTTCATACAATGGTCAAGCACAATAAGGGGAAGTGCAGTGCACAAGAACCATAACTCCATCTTGACTAATTACAGAGTTATTGCCCTTTGTTTCTTTTCCATTGCTTTCTTTTGTCCGGACCATAACTTGAAGACTTATTGTTGGAATTCATTATAACTTCATACAATGGTCAAGCACATTGAGAGGAAGTGCTGTGCCTATGAACCATAAGTCCATCTTGACTTATTACAGAGTTACTGCCCTTTGTTACTTTTCCATTGCTTTCTTTTGTCCGGACCATAATTTGAAGACTAATTGTTGAAATTCATTATAACTTCATACAATGGTCCAGCACATTGAGAGGAAGTGCAGTGCACAAGAACCATAACTCCATCTTGATTTATTACAGAGTTACTGCCCTTTGTTTCTTTTCCTTGTCCAGAGCATAACTTTAAAACTACTGGTTGGAATTCAAAACAACTTCATACAATGGTCAAGCACAATAAGGGGAAGTGCAGTGCACAAGAACCATAACTCCAGCTTGACTAATTACAGAGTTATTGCCCTTTGTTTCTTTTCCATTGCTTTCTTTTGTCCGGACCATAACTTGAAGACTTATTGTTGGAATTCATTATAACTTCATACAATGGTCAAGCACATTGAGAGGAAGTGCTGTGCATATGAACCATAACTCCATCTTGACTTATTACAGAGTTACTGCCCTTTGTTACTTTTCCTTGTCCACAGCATGACTTGAAAACTACTGGTTGGAATTTAAAACAACTTCATACAATTGTCAAACACAATAAGGGGAAGTGCAGTGCACAAGAACCATAATTCCATCTTGACTAATTACAGAGTTATTGCCCTTTGTTACTTTTCCTTGTCCAGAGCATAACTTGAAAACTACTGTTTGGAATTCAGTACAACTTCATACAGTTGTCAAGGACATTAAAAGGAAGTGCAGTGCACAAGAGCCATAACTCCATTTTGACAAAATACAGAGTTACTGCCCTTTGATACTTTTCCTTGTCCGGAGCATAACTTAAAACGTACTGGTTGGAATTCAAAACAACTTCATACAATGGTCAAGCACAATAAGAGGAAGTGCAGTGCACAAGAACTATAACTCTATCTTCAGTATTTATAGACTTATTGCCCTTTGTTCTTTTTCTTTGTCTTTTCTGGACTTATTACAGAGTAATTCAATTAAACTTCATCAATGGCCAACCACATTCAAAGGAAATGCAACATATATGAACAACAATTATCTTTAATTGCCCACAACCATAACTCTATGTTTCAATTCTTTTACAAGGTATTCTGTTACTAGTAACATCCTCATTTCCGAAGCAGACTTGTGGGGGTATTAATCACATTTAGTGATAGTTCTAGTTAGAAATATTTTAATGACAGTGTGCAGCTTTAAAATGTATATGTTTCATATATTTACTCTCGTGTTAGTTTAGCTTGATTGGTATGCTTATTTGAACAAGTCTCAAGTCTTGGAGCTAACCAGTGCAAGTGTCATATGAGAAAACATGATTGTGACACATCAATGGGGCTTGAGCCCCCCCATCCCTGGGTTGAGAGACAGATGCTTGAACCACTTATCAGCTGCACCAGTTAATAGGACATTGGGTCAGAGTAAATAGGACATTGGGTCTGTGAGTAAATAGGACATTGGGTCTGTGAGTAAATAGGACATTGGGTCAGAGAGTAAATAGGACATTGGGTCAGAGTAAATAGGACATTGGGTCTGTGAGTAAATAGGACATTGGGTCTGTGAGTAATAGGACATTGGGTCAGAGAGTATATAGGACATTGGGTCAGGGAGTAAATAGGATATTGGGCCAGAGAGTAAATAGGACATTTGGCCAGAGAGTAAATAGGACATTGGGTCTGTGAGTAAATAGGACATTGTATCAGTGAGTAAATAGGACATATGGTCAGAATGTAAACAGGATATATTTGGACAGAGGGGAGATCTCTTTATATTTATAGATTTACAGCTGTCTTGTTTATTTAGACTACTGATAGATGTAATAAACTGGCTGTAAATTTAAAACCAAATTGTTTACTTTTTGATGCCATAACTTTTTATATATTTTTGTATCTTGAAAACTTTTATGTTTAAAATCATAAAATTTAAAATTCAAATTATTTTATTTTGCAAATGCTACATGCAATCTTTTTTTCCTCCCCAAATTTATGTACTATAATATTATGCATGTGTCAGATAAAGTAAAATACATGTAATGAACCTTTTCAACTTAAAAGTAAGACAAATCCATTGGTATAAAATTGGCAAGGGTAGGACTAATGCTCTCAGGAAGCAAGTAAAATGTTGAGTTAGTATACCACAGTGGAAGCCTTTATCTTATCAAAATGTAAATTTGTTGAGCTTAGGGCAATACCCCTGTTTATATTTGATAGCTTTATCTGAGCTAGAAAATATTTGTTTTAACATTAATACATTGTATATTTGCATGTTGAATACGCTTTATAGTGTAACCTTATCTTATAAGGAAACAATTTATTAGCATTTTTTTTTACTTAATTAAAAAGTCATTTCCTATATAGATTATATTAATTCTATAGGTATCTTTGAATTTGTGGGGAATTTTTTACTAAATTAAGTTTTGCATAACATTATTCCCAGATATTTCCCCTTTACCATGCAATTTTAAAAATGATACATTTAACATCATATTATTTTAGTGAGTTCAGATGCAGGATATAAAATTGTACTAGTAACCAAATTGTGTACATGTATCAAATTATTGCTGCAATCCCTATACATTTACTTAATTTTAACAAATAATATTTATTTCACTATTATTTGGCACAACAGTGTATAGAATGTCCTACAATGTTTTATGTTACAAATTGGCAAAAATTTGGAGGCATGTGGCTTTAAGTTTTCATAACTCCATGTTCTCATGTTGCACGTATATTATTAGTTTTAAAGATTTCTGACAGGTTATATGGCTGTATATAAACTGATGTTTGGAATTAAAAAATGTAACCATAGCCGCTAGGTAAAGGTTATATTGCAAACAACTGTTTATATACAGCCATATAACCAGTAAGAAAAATTTATAAAAAATTTGTAATACAGCAAGCATCTTTATTAGAGAAAAAAGTGAGATTGCTTCATAAATTGACAGCAGCCGTGCATATTAAAATATATAAACATCACTATTATCCAATGGAAAGCTATGTTACATGTGTAAATGTTCAGTATTATTAAAGCTACATTCAATAAATTTCATAAAAATAGAAGTAGCGACATTTCATTAACAAATTGTGTTTCATATCGACTCCAGATCTTACTTTGGTGTCCAGACAACCAAAATGAGTTTTATAAGCATAAAAAGGTGCAACCTCATTGTGGAAATACAATTTCTGTTTGCATGAGAAACTCTGCCTTGGGATCATCTGTACATCAATATCAAATCAACAAACATGACTATAGGTAGCAGTCCTAATTTAACAGTAATTTTCCTCATTGTAAGCCAATGTAAGGGATGTTTTCATACAAATTTAGTCTTTTTTATGAGATGATTACTTTTTTCTGAACCCCAGGCCTAGCGCACCGTGAAGCTAAAATGGTTATAGTGTGTTTGCACAAGAAAATCTCATATTTGTTGTGTTCCGGAAAGCAGCTGTAACACTGTGACGTAGCGCATACACAAGCTGATCATAATCTTCATTTGCATGTTAAAATTCGTATTCAAACTTTAGTGTTACCGTGGAGTTTTTCATTTAAATCCTAATTTATGAATAATATTTGATGGGATTTACAACATTATTGTTAAAATGGTAAAACTGTAGAATGCTTGGTTTTAGGCCGACGGCAAAATATCTTTACATATTATGTAGCTTTAAGTATAATAATAAACCTGAGAACCAGACA